CACACACATGCACACACACAAAAGAATACTTTTGTGACAAAGGTTTAAGTGCTACATTAATATTTTGAAAGGCTAGCAGCTCTTACAAACACCAAACACTCTTATAGGGACCATTAGAATTGAATGCTGTAAATATTTATTACTTTACCTAAACTTAAAGCATCTTCATACTGTCCAGTCTCAAAAAACAGAGCAATCAGTCTAGCCTGTAATAGAAACAAGACAACTATAGTAGGAAAATCTTCAATATCTTAAGTGTCCAGGGCAAAAAGATTCTCTTTTATACAGGATGGGTTACTTTCAGTGACAAAGTCTGAGTTCACATGAAATATGAATGACCGAGCCAATATAAAGAGGAGCTCAAAGCATAAAATCTGTAAAAAAAACTACTTTGCTGAAGATGGGTAAGGACATGAACCCTGCAGCTTACTGTAATATTACCTAACCAACAAAAACAAAGTCTAGGTTTAGAAAGGATATATATTCAATGCAAATTTGACCATACAAATAACAGTTGCAAATGCCTAATCCTTTCACTGGGAAATACTCTAACTATACCACGCCTGCTTACCTCCAGTGCTTGTCTTAGAAAAGTCCTCTTCTCAGATTTTGCCCACTCTATACACTCTTTACATAACTCAACCTGGAAAAAAATAACAGTCATAGAAAAATTCCCTCGGGCACCGTTTTACCAAAACTATAATTTAATCAGAACTTCCAGAGAGCTCGTAGAATAAATATATTTATTGGTATGGGATCAATGTTGCTTTAGACTATATTAACAATATTATTTGCTTTCATTACCTCTTTCCCTGTCCCTGCCTCCATATCTAGAAACATGTCAACCAGTGCCTTCACCAGCTTGGCTGCCTTAGCTTTACTCATCCGCACCAGAAATGGCCTGGTGAACTTGATAAGGCCAGCCAGCTCTAAAAAAACATGTAACAAAATGTCATACTGGATCCAATTTGAATTCATCTTGACAGAGATTCTCAGTAAAACTACCTGTGTGTTATTGGTCTCGTTTTATTTTATGAAAAATTTACATTTCTCACGCTACACAAGGATGCATTCCTAGCTCTTGTAATATAGTTGCATGGAATTGTTCACAGCGGAAGTATCGCCTTTGGCCAAACTGACACAAATAACTAGTCCACATCTTTTAAACTTCAATAAAAAATGGAAGTATGTATTTTGTATGAAGGAGATGAGAATGTGACCAAATAACCCTCAGACTAAAATACCACTTCTAGCTTTCAGAATTCAAGACAGCTTAATAACTATGTCCTGTTGTAAATTTGACTAGAAAGAACAGGTTCTTTTCAGTTGAAATTGTTTATTTCCTCAATTCTATTTTCATCATCATAAGCAGGTATTACTGGATACTATTAGCTGAAAAAAATCCCAGGGGAGAAATGTCCTACCTGCCTAAAAGCACTCACCTTCTCCTTGTCCAGTCTTGGACAAGAGAGAGCCAAGCTCCATGATGGCCAACTCCTTAATTCTAATAGCTTCCTCATCACTGATCTGTGGTTCTTTTTTAACTGTAAAAGAATACAGGCCACATGCTAGTAATATCCTGGTTGTAAACCAACATACTGGGAACTAAGGACAATTTCATTGTGACATTCACAATATCACTTGCAGTTAAAATGTAACAACATATTCCATTCAAATCATATCTTTGCACTTGTAACCAGTGTTCACATTAAATTGAAACAGGACTTGGTCCAAATAACACGTATTAAATCATGGCAGCATTTTTTCACTAATTTGTTTTATATTACTCCACATAAAATAACTTTACTGAAATGAGGCATAAAGTTTGATAAAGGGATAAAAATGTGGCTTCAAAATATCTCATACAGTACAGTTTTAAACCAAGCAGCAATCAGACTAACAACTATATACCTAATTGAAATAAACTGAAATAACNCTTAAGTAAGTGCTACATTAATATTTTGAAAGGCTAGCAGCTCTTACAAACACCAAACACTCTTATAGGGACCATTAGAATTGAATGCTGTAAATATTTATTACTTTACCTAAACTTAAAGCATCTTCATACTGCCCAGTCTCAAAAAACAGAGCAATCAGTCTAGCCTGTAATAGAAACAAGACAACTATAGTAAGAAAATCTTCAATATCTTAAGTGCCCAGAGCAAAAAGATTCTCTTTTATACAGGATGGGTTACTTTCAGTGACTAAGCCTGAGTTAACATGAAATATGAATGACCGAGCCAATACACAGATGAGCTCAAAATATAAAATCTGAAAGAAAAATTTTACTTTGCAAAAGATAGGTAAGGACAAGAACCCTGCAGCTTGACCATACAGATAACAGTTGCAAATGCCTAATCCTTTCACTGGGAAATACTTTAATTACACCACAACTGCTTACCTCCAGTGCCTGTCTTAGAAAAGTCCTCTTCTCAGATTTTGCCCATTCTATACACTCCTTACATAACTCAACCTGGAAAAAATTCCCTCGGGTTATGTCTATGCCAAAACTATTATTTAATCAGAACTTCCAGAAACCTCACAGAATAAATATATTCATTGGTGTGGGATTAATGTTGCTTTAAATCAACCCTAGACTATATCAACACTATTATTTGCCTTCATTACCTCTTTCCCTGTCCCTGCCTCCATATCTAGAAACATGTCGACCAGTGCCTTCACCAGCTTGGCTGCCTTAGCTTTACTCATCCGCACCAGAAATGGCCTGGTGAACTTGATAAGGCCAGCCAGCTCTGAAAAAACATGTAACAAGATGTCATACTGGATCCAATTTGAATTCATTTTGACAGAAATTCTCAGTAAAACTACCTGTGTGTGTTATTGGTCTCGTTTTATTTTATGAAAAATTTACATTTCTCACGCTACACAAGGATGCATTCCTAGCTCTTGTAATATAGTTGCATGGAATTGTTCACAGCGGAAGTATCGCCTTTGGCCAAACTGACACAAATAACTAGTGCACATCTTTTAAACTTCAATAAAAAATGAAGTATGTATTTTGTATGAAGGAGATGAGAATGTGACCAAATAACCCTCAGACTAAATACCACTTCTAGCTTTCAGAATTCAAGGCAGCTTAATAACTATGTCCTGTTGTAAATTTGACTAGAAAGAACAGATTCTCAGTTGAAATTGTTTATTTCCTCAATTCTTTTTTCATCATCATAAGCAGGTATTACTGGATACTATTAGCTGAAAAAAATCCCAGGGGAGAAATGTCCTACCCGCCTAAAAGCACTCACCTTCTCCTTGTCCAGTCTTGGACAAGAGAGAGCCAAGTTCCATGATGGCCAACTCCTTAATTCTAATAGCTTCCTCATCACTGATCTGTGGTTCTTTTTTAACTGTAAAAGAATACAAGCTACATGCTAGTAATATCCTGGTTGTAAACCAACATACTGGGAACTAAGGACAATTTCATTGTGACATTCACATTATCACTTGCAGTTAAAATGTAATGTTCAACATATTCCATTCAAATCATATCTTTGCACTTGTAACCAGTGTTCACATTAAACTGAAACAGGACTTGGCCCAAATAACACATATTAAATCATGGCAACATTTTTTCACTTATTTGTTCTATATTACTCCACATAAAATAACTTTACTGAAATGAGGCATAGAGTTTGATAAAGGGATAAAAAATGTGGCTTCAAAATATTTCATACAGTACAGTTTTAAACCAAGCAGCAATCAGACTAACAACTATATACCTAATTGAAATAAACTGATTATAGTAACAAAGAACAACACTGAAGAGCACAATGAAGAAGACTTTATGGAGAAGAGGGACATGGGAGGATCTTCTAATTTAAAAACTATACAATCACAGCAAAGACACATTAATAACCATAAAAAGATATTTTAACGTAACAACCTCTCGTTATTTAAATAAGGTGATAACAGGTAACATTGCAAAATCATATGTATTTTGTTATATATCCGCGTAGTATCCACGTTCATTCATTCAAAAATAAGAGGCTCGACTGTAGATCTGCTTTCAATTCTAATTACATGCAGAGCAAAGCCTGTTAATCAAAAATATTTGATTTCAAGGATATCTTTAATGAGTTAACTACACGTTATCCAACTTCTTTGTCAAGGAATCTAAACGATTTGTTCAAATTTGACAAGTCACGTCTTCGGAGCGTCTACCGGCATCAGATAACACCCAATTTCACAATAAAATTCAAGAAAAAGTCTACTTTTTCAAGCTATAGCATATCAGGACTAGCCTAATATTCACTTACCAATGGAGTGAAGAATATCTATAGCGGCGGCGGGCTTATTAGACGCATAAAGGGCTTGCGCCCGTTCAATTTCGACAGCCGCCATGTTGAAACATGTGTGACAAACAAAATCTCGTCAAAACGCGATTACCTTGTTTTAAATTTCAATAAAATTAATCTATAATCTTTATTTATTAGCAAGAGCTTTTTATGGTGTAAATATATTACAAAAAGATAATCATTCGGCAAAAGTTACTGTATCGATAGATATGTTCATACCTTTTGCTCTGAACGTCTAGATGGCCATCTAGCGGCAACTTTAGAAACTACTGTTTGCCGGTGCAACAAGGTGTAACAGGAATGGAAGTCCGCTAGAAACCGCTGTTCCTGTTAAACCAGATCCTATAATAATAAGAAGAAGAAGAAGAAGAAATATGTTAAGAAAAGAGAATTAAACAATTCTAGCAATAAGCGAATGAGTAACCATTTTAACCCATTGATTGATTTTTGCGTGCAGATTGTTTTTGTTGTTTAGCCTACATTATTTGTTGTCCGTCGGCCCAACTAAAACAACAACAATCTACACGCAATTTGGTAACATATGTATCGGTAACGTATGTATCGATACATATGATACATACCTACGTTACCGATACATACGTTACCAACTTGAGCGTAGATTGTTGTTGTTGTTTACATTATTTTTTGTCCGTCGGCCCAACTACATGTATGTGAGTAGGCCTACGTGCTCGACGTCATACATTCCTCTTTGTTAGACTGTCATACAAAGTTTAATATCCATCGATACAAACAATGCCTTTGTTTTTAGTAACTGTTAGCTGCTTCCAAATTCTGGTGAGTCAACACCTATTTTTTACTGTATATTATGTTACAATTAAATAGAAACGGGACAAAAGAGAGAAGTTGTCTTCAAACTATTTGTAAAAATTATCCACATTATGCATGAAATTAGGATTTTGACTAGCTAAATAAAAGTTCTAAACCGTAGCAAATGGCACCCATCGTCCTCTAAAATGCCAAAAAATTCGGGCCCCTTCAGCAGGCCCCGAACCCCACGCCAAGTTGGGGGGGGGGGAGTTGGCGCTTCGCATCTGCGGACCTACGTACCCCCCCCCCCCCCCCCCCCCCCCCCCCCAAATCCCCCCACCCCCCCCCCCCCCCCCCCCAACCTTCAAATAATCCTGGATCCGCCCCTGTCCGACCACGGGTTGCCCTAATATTCTGTTACAGTATGTAAATATTTATACAGTATTTTGGAAGCATCTGATATCAGACGGCACTAAGTATAGGGATGCGGAAGAGAGATGCATATATTTCGTTTGATTTGAAAATTCCACAGATTGAATTAAGAAGGCAATTTTCTCGCGGAAAAAAATCGCCTGACATGATATATAGGTTTTTGTATGTAGGCCTACATGCTCATGCAAAACATAATAAAACTTCTTCATATGTTTGTTTTTATCGTAACATAATATAAATTATTTAAGTTAGTTATTGACTTTTGTTCGAAATATTTCCTTTTTTCTATTTCTTCTTCTTCTTCTTTTTTAATTACCCAGTCCTGACCATTTACTCTAAACATGTGTGGGGCTAGACTTGTCACATATGGTGACGATTCTTTTAAGCCGCTGCACCTAGATCATGGAATATACTTCTACTTTTACTACGTAGGATAGACTCTTTTATTAATAATAATTTATGTATAAATTTTTTATAAACGACTTTTTAAAGTGTGTGAAATTTTTATTAAATCAATTTCCCGTTTCAATGACGTATAAAATTAACATTATGCTAGTCAAAACTACTACGTTCCTATCTGGTAACATGGTCGGGGACTGCACAGTGCTTTTCTTGTTTATTGGATGAAATTATAGGTTTTATCTTTATTCTAGCTCGAAGTTCATTATTTGAAAACAACAGTCGGCATACTCGAGCTCTGGCTGGTAAACCATACGATCGACACTTGGCCAGCTGACAGGGCGGTGATACAGGAATAGTAGTCCCAGGAATGAAAGTCTGGGATCCCATATGAATAGTACAGGTTAGGGTTAGTCGGTTAGGAATATTGGGGCTAGTAAAAGTAATGGGGAACAGACTTCAGTTCCTATCGGTCTACCATTCTTGTTACACCGGTAAAGTATGCGAATAGACGCAATTTGACACAAGAAAATTTGCTTTAACGCGACAATGCAAAATTTCAAATTCGGTTCTAAACGTGCATGGGTCCTTTGTGATGACATTAGGCCATCGTATGTCCGGCGGTGGGGGCTCCGTCAGCAATTTCGTCATCGACTTCGTGAGCGATGAACTCGAGCGTCCATAGTTGCCTCCCAAAGGCCATTGTGAGAACAGCTTGTCAAATCGTGTCATCTTCGCGTCATTGTCTTTGCGCAATGAATTTTTTCTCCTTACGGATATAAGGCAACACGACTGCGTCATACTTTTTTTTTTTTTTTTTTTTTGAGGGATGAGAAATATTGCATTGCATGAAAGAATGAGATTAACTCAAATTTTCACCGATGAGGTTTTAATTTATTAGAACAGCAGAGACATTGTTCAAGGTTACCACACAATATTATTGAGCAATACATTGAAAATTAAAGACCAATGGGATGGAAGGAGTATCAAAAGTACCCAACTGCAAAATATTTATAGATTAATAACTATCCTTGTGTACCTACATGTGTATCTAACAGCTATACATAGATTAGAGGCCTTTATGACCAAATCTGAATACGTAACACAAATATGCTGCTAGCATGTCCAAGACATACATGTATTACATGTATATGTATTTCTTGATATTTTTGTATATAAATGTAACATCTATACATTTGGATTTGAAAGTCTCATTAGCTAGGCAATGTCCCGCCATTGGTGTCGCTGTCACCCTTCAAGCAGGATATGCGCCGGTGCAAGATATGGCGAAAACGCTGGAAAATTTGGGCATTACCAAATTTTCTTTAGTATACATCATCTGGATAGGGTTTTCTGGGTATACGTTTATCTTGTCCTTGTTCCTTTTCAGAACCTCTGCCCAGGCTACATAATCGACATTCATAATCATGAATATCTTGGAATTTTTCGGAATAGATTCAATGATTGCTTTAAGTAGCATCATGAATGCAGAAGGGGTATCAGCATAAAGCGGTGAAATGAAGTAGGCATGCGGCGCTTCTTGCACCTGACCATAACCCACGATCTCACCGCCATCTGTGAGAGCCACAAACGCAATAGCTGATGGTTTTGCCAGCCAAACTTTCAGAAACTTCCTCCGTTGAAAGGTAATGATGGAAGTATCGTAAGCAAGCAACGCTTCGAAGTCGACCTCACTTGCCGAAACAACTTTGACTTCAGCTGCGTCGTGCTGTTTATCTACGTACAAAGTCTCCGGATCAAAAAAGCCGTCACAGAAATACAGGTTTCCGCCTCCAATTTTCATGCCCACTTTCTTATTAAGTTCTATCCTGTCAGGAACAGACCACAGCACAACGTTTCTTTCTCCAGCAATCTTCAAAGTGGCATCGGCTATCTTCTTGGCTAAAATAGAGAAATGGATTGTCAGTAGGTATAAGGAAAAGGATAAATTAAATGCATGATTATAATATTTATACATATAGGGGCCTACTGTATTCTTAAGAGAGATCTCCGTTTGCTCGCAATTAAAAAAAATATGCGCTACATTTTGCCATCTCGCTGCAGAAAAGTTTTAAAAGTATGCCAAGGTTAATAAATATCAGTAAGGTGATAACTGTCAAAAGGCGCTTGCTTTTCTTTTCTCATCACAAATCTAGCTGTTACTAATTTCTTTAATTTATGAAGATGATATAAAGTAGCTAGGCAAGTAGGGCCTACTCAGTCGGTGTTTACACTCGTCCGTAGTGAGCCTTTGTATAGCCATATAATGAAGGCCCATATTATTTTCAATTACTGACTGGTTTAGTGACTATAAGACCCCGATTATCAATAGAGTAGGGCGGATGGTGATTCATGCATCTTGGAATTATGTAAATGGGGCATTGGATGACATTAACTTACATTTTATTTTGTTGAAGTTAGAGACGGATATACGGAGACAGCCAGTGTGTCACGCTTGGCAGGCCAAGCAGTTCGTTAAAAAATTTAAGTCCCATTAGCTGCCATGTATTATAAGACTGGGTTCCCATACCTAGATTGATCTAACAGGATCAATCCATCTCCAAGGGGATTCCCGCTTATATGCTTTTAGCTTAAGCGGCTTAGATGTCTGGCACGCCTACTGAAGCTGCTAAACAATAAATAATTACCTCTTAGCAGCTTCGGTAGGCGTGACAGACATCCAAACCGCTAAAGTTGATTGCAATTTAGAGAGAATCCCCTTGGAGATAGATCGATCTACAGTTAGTACGATAGGGTCTGGGAATGGTCCCTAAGAGCTATTTAGCCAGAAGCCACTTGGAGGTGGATCGATCTTGTTAGATCGATCTAGGTATGGGAACCCAGTCTCAAGCTCTTCTATACCAGGCCTACACAACTACCAGACTAAGCACATAAGGATCCTGAATTAACCGGTATGTCGGACCTCACTACCTGTTTTCAAGGTGTGTGTCAGATCGCATTTCGGAGTATCATACCCCAGAACAATTTTTGTAGGACGACCGCGGGCTCATCCTGTCGGTGTTCTGACTAATACTCCGAAATGCGATCTGACACACACCTTGAAAACGGGTAGTGAGGTCCGATAAACCGGTTAATTCAAGATCCTTATGTGCCGAGGCTGGTAGTTGGGTAGGCCTGTATACACGTTAAAGCAACATCTAAATATTATATCACTAATATGTATTTATTGAACTGAATTATACACCGACAGGAAGGTCATGTATAAAAAGAGCAAGCCATCAGACGACGGCGGACATATATTTCACCTTTTCTTAATCGGTAATAGCGCAAAGTGTTGAACTAGAAATGATATTATTATTAGTATTTTGGTATTATGTGGTTTACATACCTATTCTGTTCCCTCTGTATTTCTTATCCACTATCAGAAAGTCGAACATGACCGTGTTTTCGTCCAGAACGACCACAAATCGTGAACCTAATGAAAATAGTTTCAAAATACACATGTAATTTTGTTACTCGAAGTTGGCCCGGAACAACCCTAGCCTCACCCCCACCCCCCACCCCCAACCCCCCCAAAAAGAAAGGTCTGGAGTGCAATATTTTTACTGATGGAAGGATAGAGTCTGAACAAGCATAAGGTATATTTAGTTCATCTTTAATTAATTAAGTACAATGTCACTTAACTGTATGGAACTGTCATTATTTAAATGAAAAAAAAAACTCTGAAACTGTCAGTTCTCTATAAGTGTGGAAATCTGTTACGGATAAAACCTGTTCTGTTTTTTTTTTTTTTTTTTTTTTCAATCTGATACTTAACCTAAGCGCACCAATACAAAGAAGCTAGAACAAATACGAGGAACATGATACCTATGATTTTCCCGTGAAGATCAGCCACAATGTAATGGCCCTGTTCCAATGAATCGAACAAAGCGGTCAGCAATTCTTTCGAAACGTCCCACCCCACCTGGTCCGTCAACGTGAAGAGCTCGTCAAGGTCGGCCCTCTTAGCAGGGCGAATGATAACTTGAGAATACAAGTCCGTCGACGTCTCTCCTGTCTTTTCGGTAGCCATCTTGAAGAGAAAAGAAAGGGTATGAGAGGATTTTTAGGAATACCACCGCTTCAATCGTGTGCCAGTTCAGCTTGGCGAGTCGTTTACATTGTAATCTAATTTCTGTGTGACTATATCCAGGGTTACCCAACTAGCACGGAAGAAATGTGATGAAAAAATGCTAAAATCGATTGAGGTTCTGTGCGTCGCAGTGCGGACTATTTGAGAAATTTCACGATGCTGTTTGAAGAGAGAAACGCTAGCTGTCATCCGGGAGATGTTTTGGATCGATAACAAAAGTGGAGCTTCACTGTCAGATCTTGGAAGTATTTACACACGTAGCTAGTCCAGTACGAGGGATACAACTAGCTCCCATGGGTTTAATTCTAAACTTGTGCTTTAAGCCCTGTTACATCCGCCTTGCGACCGCTCGGGGAACCAAGCACATTATTTTTGACCCTTTCCCCCCAACTGACAATTTTTTAATAGTCAACATCAAGTTCATACATCAGTGTTAATGTTTTATAAATATTGCGGCCTCCTTGTGACCCCTCCTTCTGAAACCCAGGCAAAATCCCGGCATACTTTTAGAAATAACCCTGTATCCACGTGATTCATATTGCAAGTTAGATTAAAGCTGTTTTCTACGAGTATTATTCAATAAACCACTAATGTTTTAAACATAACAACCACTGCTAAATGTACGCACCTTAATCTGCGCCGTTACGATACTAGACTGGAATACACGCTGATGTGACACCAACCTGAGAAAAATTCAAAATGGGTGTTTTTCCATTGTCTGCCCAGCAATATACAGTGTCACCTTAAAACCTATGTCACAATGCCACACGACAGAGTTAATATAATTACGCCATTAGCCATTCAAGAACGCGAGGAGAGTAACAGTTTCATAGCTGTCGGCATGTAGGCAGTGCCGGATTTAGGGGGGTCCTGACGCCACTCAGATTTCTGAAAAATATCACACCCAAAGTCCCCTCTTGAATGAAATTAGAATTTTGACTAGGTGAATCATAGTTCTAGACCGTACAAAATGGCACCGTTCGCCTTCTAAATTACCAAAAATTTTCGGGGCCCTTTAGCGGGCCTTGTACCGCACGCCAAGGGGAGGGGAGGTGTCAGCTTCGCATCCGCAGACCTCCCCCCTTCAAATAACCCTGGATCCGCCCCTGGGGATGTCTTTGCAAAACCCGTCGAAATATCTTTCCCAGGCCTTAATGTTACCTTCTACCAGGACAGATTAATTTTTCACTAACATTCACAAATACGTCCCTGGCTGACTCATGATCAACTGTTTTTTTTTCTGCTGCTCACAATTTAGTGGTTACCAGCTCAGAAATGAACAACCCAGCTGTCCGTCGTCTTGACGCCACGTAAAACGTGCGAGTGAGTGCCACTGGGTGCCACTGGCCGCATTCAGGACCGACTCAGTGCAGTGTATTTTAAATAATCTCTAGGAATTATATGTAAGAGTGTTACTATATCGCAATCAAACCGACAAACCGCTCACCTCGCTGACCGCTTTACTCGGCGAAAACACAGCTTTTGGATACAGTCAAACAACCGCTTTCTAGAACAGTCTTAAAACAGTACTAGTCTGACTTGTGTAAAACGGCCACTGCCGTTATGCAGGCAGTCGTAAAACATGTACACCAGGGGCGGATCCAGAGATATTTTCTGACAGTCTTCCATACTATATTTGTTGATCCATCCTCCATTTTTTGACCGTCTTCTGACATAAACATATAGATACCCGTCAGCGTAAACTTGAAAATCTGACCGTCTTCCGAAAGACCCAGAAGACGGCCTAAATCCGCCCCTGTACACAGCTATTTTTTACCACGTAGGAAGTCACGGACTAACGCACACGTCATGCATTATAGTTATACTACGCCTATGTCTAATATTGGCTTCGTCGTGGTAGAATTATTCAGTTACCCTGGACACAGCGTTCACCAGGCAGGGTATGTTACACTGAGGTCTTATGTATTATGCTGATTATCATTGTTGATATAATGATCAGTGAATGATGTAAGCCCTTCATACAAACGATTCTAGACATCACAATATTTTATTGTTCGAAAAAGCTCAGTTATGCCAGAATTCAGTTTGTGTTAGCTGTTATTACCTTCGCCAAGGAGGTTATGTTTCCATGCCTGTTTGTTTGTCTTTCTGTCTGTCTGTCTGTCTGTTTGTCATCTATAACTCAAAAAGTTATAGATGAATTTCGATAAAATTTTCAGGGTAGGTCAGAAATGGGTTGACTTAAAAGTGGTTAGTTTTTGGTGGTGATCCGGATCAATAATCAATCAATAATCAAAAATCAAAAAGCAAAATCATTATAGAATGAAAATTTAGGGGTGAAATGGCATTGGGTGGAGACTTTCCTGCCTTGGCCGAGGTCTGCGCTCTCGGAGGGCTTTTCTAGTTGAATAGGGGGATAGGAGTCGTGAGAATATTGCACATAGGCCTATAGAATTTCAGTGCCGGGTCTGTTTCTTCATTTTGAAACTACCAAACACGCCTGCCTGTCACATCTGAGCTTCAGAAACGTTTGCAATTGTCTGAAATTAACAACTCCGATCACAAATATTAGACCAGACTTTTTTAACCAACTCAGTTACAAACCATATTATGGAACTATAAAATCCGGATAACAAATAATTGCTTGTGTTTGGTGAGGCAAACGTCAGTGAAACTTGTCGCTTAATTAAATGTCAAAGTCTAATAAGCGTCGATGTATACACTGCACTGTAAAAACAGAGTTTAGCTCCTAAACACATTTCTAAGTGCCAGTTTTGTCTCATTTTTTCGACGCGTTTAGCTCCTAAGCACGTTTAGCTCCTTAGCATGTTACATGCTTTTAGACCGAATGTGTTGGGTGTATATTTGTTTAACTGTTAGGTGCTACGGATTTCAACTGTTTTAGTCACAAACACACAAAGACACGATCACCTTTACCTGCTATAGACATCTCTATCTAAAACTGGGTAACGTGAACTGTCGATATCGTTGACTTCACACCATCACATTTACAATTGGACTCATTCATCCTTGTGTTAGCTGACCTTGCGAGGAAGTTTATTGGAATGTATTTCTGAAATACAAGATAGGGAAATTCACTAGTTCACTAAAGACACGAAACAACAATCACTTTTATTTTAAAACACATTTTTTCATATTTTGATAAATTGCGTTACGGTATTGATGACTATTTATTTTTTCCGGAAGCAATGGACAATAGAACATCAGGATGATGGTGGGGTATTCATTATAATTTTTTTACGCAGGGTTATCTCAAAGTTTGTGTCGCTCTTTTTGAACTACCTCTTCCATGGCCGGTAAAATACATATACCCAGTTGCGCACGACCCTCTCCTGCAGGGGTTTCCAGTGGCGGATTTAGAGGGAGGGGTCAGGGGGGGTGCTGACCACCCCCTTCGATTTCTGAAAAAAATCACACCAATGGTCCCCTCTTGGAATTAGAATTTTGACTAGGTGAATCATAGTTCTAAACCGTACCCAATGTCACCGTTCGCCCTCAAAATTTCTCGGGGCTCTTCAGCGGGCCCCGAACCCCACGCCAACGGGGGAGGGGGGATACCCACCTTTCGAATAATCCTGGGTCCACTGATGAACTACCAGACGTTTTGACAAACAGTTAAGTAGAGTTAGTTACCAAAAGCATGCTCCTCGTTTACCGTTATTTATCGGGCAAAGCAAGGGGTTTTATATTGGAAGCTAAGCCTACCACCGGCGTGACAAGAACATTGGCCGGTGGTAGGCCTTTTTACAAGGATAAAATCCTCACTCCCCCCCCCCTCCCCCCTAGCAAAACCCTAGACCGATTGTAGGCCCACCCAGTGTAACCGGAATATGGGAGGAATCGAAGTCCATACCCCATTACTTTGCACAAGTTATATTCGCCCCACATACTAACTCCGATATTTCCGACCAACCCTAACCCTTACACGGGACCCTGGGTAATCATTTCTAGGTATAAGGGACTACCGGCCAATAGTCTGGATGACTGGTGCCATACATTGGCAGAATTGCTCAGAATGTGGAAAAAGCATGAAACTTGGCACAAATGTTCTTTGGACTATGCTGAGTTGCAATGGTTTATTTGGGCTTTTAATGGCTTAAAATAGTATTGTGATATTTCTGATGGCTTGAAACATTATCAAAACTGAACAAGAAAGGTCCAATTAGCTTGTTTCTAAGGTAAATCACTTCCTTAGCAACGTTTGCTAAGCAAGGGCACTCCCTTGAAAATGATCAGCATTGTCCAAAGAACATTTGTGCCAAGTTTCATGCTTTTTCCACATTTTGAGCAATTTTTGCACCAGTCATCTAGACTACAATGTTCTTGTTATGCCGGCGGTAGGCCTAGCTTCCAATGTAAACTGGGCCGAGTGTTTTCCACAGTATCATTGAATAATATTAGCACAGTGCTGTTTGAATATTAGTGGTACTTTATTCTTTGTACCTGTGACCCATAACAATAGTGCACATTAAGCCAGTTCTAAAGCAGGGAGGAAACATAATACCTTCGATATCTCGCTGCGTGACGCAATCTACTGAAATGGCGGCGATGCAAGTGTGTTTTCTATTGCTCTTTGGTGCCTTCATCAGCCTCTACGGCGGTGCCATCAGTTCTAATATACTGCTGTATCCGTGCTCTCTAATGTACAGCTCCCGTTTCAGGAACATTATCAAGATTGGGCAAATGATGGTAGCAAGAAACCACAGCGTAACCATCTTGATCACGACCGACAGTAATCTTAAGGATATACCCAATGGGATAGAGGTGTTAACTGTCAAGGTACACACTGAAGCTTTGTCAATTTCCAGCGAAGAAATGCTTGAAGTTCACAATAATCCCTTTCACATTTTCAAGAAAGTGATAGAGAAAAGCAGTAGCACTGTGGATGCACTTTTTGGGAACAGAGAGCTACTAAACACTTTGATTTCTAAAAAATTTCACCTCCTGTTTCATGACGTAGCTGCTATAGAAAGTTTTGTATTGAGGGATTATTTAAACATCCCCGGAGTCGGGTATTCTAATTTGGGGTTCGATAACGACTGGACCATCTATCCTATACACCCTGCCTACACGCCACATATTTTTGCAGGATGCTCGGATCACATGGGTTTTAGGGAGAGATTAATGAACACACTGAGTTTAACGTTAACCGTATATTTTAAGTACTATGTCACGGCTGTTTTTAATGGCGCAAAAGAAAAATATAATCTCAACACCTCCTTGTCGTTTATGACAGCTTATTCCAGATTGTCTATACTGATAGTTAACGTAGATTTTGCGTTTGACTATCCCCGTCCCGTTTTTCCTTGGGTAAAAACTGTGTCGGGTATCCTTTTTCATCCTGCAAAACCCCTATCTAAAGATTTGGAAGAGTTCGTGGAATCTTCCAGGGAACATGGCATCGTTATCATGAGTTTTGGGTCGAAGGTATCCGAACTTACGTCAGAAAAAGCAGAATTAATAGCCAGGGTTTTGGCGCAACTTCCGCAGAAGATTATATGGCGGAACAATAATTCCGATATTTCGGGATTGGCAAATAACACGAAAGTTATGAATTGGATACCACAAAATGACCTTGTTGGTCACGCAAAAGCGCGCCTCTTCATCACTCACTGCGGAGTTAGTGGTTCACACGAGGCGCTATATCATGGGGTCCCTGTTGTTGCCGTACCCCTGTTCTTGGATCAATTTAGCCACGCAACAAAGTTTGTTGAACGTCTTGGAATGGGGGAGAAGTTAGACTTCTACAATTTAACAGAATCTACTTTCTCTGCAGTTGTATTGAAGGTTCTGAATAATCCTAGCTATTTTGCCAACGCTAAGCGTGCAGCAGCAATTGTTCGTGACCAGCCGATGGACGGAAAGGAAACACTGATGTACTGGGTTGAGTATGTTATCAGAAACAATGGAACGTTGCATTTCCATTCTCAGGCGATGGAGAGACTTAGCTGGTACCAGTATGTCTTGCTAGACGTAATAATCTTCCTATTAACGGTTGCAGTGTGTGTTGCTGCCTTTCTTTTGTTTTGTTGCAAAATGTTGTGCAGAAACGTTCTCAAATTACAGCCTCAGTTAAGGAAGAGGAACAAAACTGATTGATATATATGTACGTCTTTCGTTTTTTATGTTGCTTTGGGTCTCACTCACGTGCACGTTGTAAGGGAGATTAGGGGTCAATTTTAACAGAGATATAAGTTTAAAGACAACAATTCATGTTGGAACTATCCTTAAGCAGCGTACTGTTACAGACTACACGTATTGCAGCAGTTTCTTGTATTGTATTCTAAGATTACTGTAAATATTATATATCATTATAACTGTATTTACAAAGCGAGAACTAACTCACTAACTACCAACACAATAACGTTAACGCGACATTTCTGAACATCGATTTCCTCAAAATGTAAAATGAATATTTTGTATATGTTGCAAAAAGCCATTTTTGTGGTATAAAATATTTCTGAGTCGTATGTCAACCTAACCTGTATGAAGCGATTTAAGCAACGTGAATCATCACATAGTTTTTAAAAGATAGATCGTATAGGTGTATTTACAAGAAACTCACCCCGCTCTTCCATTATTTGTTGGCGTTTCAGTCTGAGAACCGCTCAATTCCTCCAGATTTCATCAAGGCAATTTCTGCTGACATTATTAAAAACGGAATTAATCGTTATAATATGTTTTAACATATTATAATGAATTAAAATGTCACATGTCCGTTTTGGGTAGAATTCAATTTCTGATACAGTTCACGGGAAATAAAATCATCAATTCACAAACAGCAAATAAAAGTGTATTCATGTCTCACTGATAATGTGCTTCGAAAATCCTGGGTAAAATGACTTCGTTTCGCGAAAGGCGAAGAATAGAAAGCCGCACTCACGCATCACTGGAATGGGGTGCTGTACGGGTCACGCTAAATAAAATGAACGTTTTACTCATCTCGGGAAATAAAAAGTGACGTTCGCGGGTAACGTTTTCCTTTGTCTGCCCAGCAATATACAGTGTCACCTTAAAACCTTTGTCAAATGCCACACGACAGAGTTAATAATTATAGACGCCATTAGCCATTCAAGAACGCGAGGAGGGTAACAGTCTCATAGCTGTCGGCATGTGTGCAGTGGCGGATTTAGAGGGGTCCTGACCCCACTTCGATTTCTGAAAAAAAATCACACCAATAGTCCCCTCTTGGAATCAGAATTTTGACTAGCTGAATCATAGTTCTAGACCGTACCAAATGGCACCGCTCGCCCTGTAATATACGAAATTCTTTCGGGGCCCGAACCCCACCCCAAGGATGGGGGGAGGGGGGGAGGCTTCGCACACGCAAACCTGCCCCCCCTACAAATAATCCTGGAGCCAACCCTGTGTATGCCTGCGCAAAACCCGTCGAATAATCTTGCCCAGGCCTAAATGTGACCCTCTACCAGGGCTACAGATTAAATTTTCACTAACAGTCACGAATACGCCCCTGGCAAACTCATGACAATTTTTTCTACTGCTCACAATTAAATGGTTACCAGCTCAGAAATGAACAACCCAGCTGTCCGCCGTCTTGACGCTACGTAAAAAGAGCGAGTGAGTGCCACTGGTTGCCACTGGCCGCATTCAGGACCGACTCAGGACAGTGTGTTTTAAATAATCTTTAGGAATAATATAAGGCCCCTAGTTCGAGGGTCAAATATGGCGACCTACTAAAAGCTTGCCGTCTAATCCGCTAATACACACTGAACAGATATCCCGTGGGGAAGTATTCAAGTTGGTCGGCCATATTTGAACCTCGGACTAGTTAGTCCACTGTTCTGAATGTCCCCTAAGGGTGTTTTCAATGGTCGGGGTTATGTTGCTTTATCGCAATCAAACCGACAAACCGCTCACCTCGCTGACCGCTGAACTCTGTGAAAACGCAGGTTTTGGATACAGTCAAACAACCACTTTGTTGAAAAGTCTTAAAACAGTACTAGTCTGACTTGATTAAGACGGTGGCTGTCGTGGTCACTGTCGTTATGCAGGCAGTCGAGTGCACAGCTATTTTTTTTTTTTTTTTTACCACGTAGGAAGTCACGGACTAACGCACACGTCATGTATTATAGTTAGTTATACTACGCTTCTGTCTAATATTGGTTTCGTCGTGGTAGAATTATTCAGTTACCCTCGATACAGAGTTCACCAGGCAGGGTATGTTACACTGAGACTTTATGTATTATGCTGATTATCATTTTTAATATAAAGATCAGTGAATGATGTAAGCCCTTCATGCAAACGATTCTAGACATCACAATATTTTATTGTTCGAAAAAGCTCAGTTATGCCAGAATTCAGTTTGTGTTAGCTGTTATTACCTTCGCCAAGGAGGTTATGTTTTCATGCCTGTTTGTTTGTCTTTCTGTCTGTCTGTCTGTCTGTCTGTTTGTCATCTATAACTCAAAAAGTTAAGATGAATTTCGATAAAAAGGGTTGACTTAGAAGTGGTTAGTTTTTGGTGGTGATCCGGATCAATAATCAATCAATAATCAAAAATCAAAATCATTATAGAATGAAAATTTAGGGGTGAAATGGCATTGGGTGGAGACTTTCCTGCCTTGGCCGAGGTCTGCGCTCTCGGAGGGCTTTTCTAGTTGAATAGGGGGATAGGAGTCGTGAGAATATTGCACATAGGCCTATAGAGTTTCAGTGCCGGGTCTGTTTCTTCATTTTGAAACTTCCAAACACGCCTGCCTGTCACATCTGAGCTTCAGAAACGTTTGCAATTGTCTGAAATTAACAACTCCGATCACAAATATTAGACCAGACCTTTTTAACCAACTCAGTTACAAACCATATTATGGAACTATTAAATCCGGATAACAAATAATTGCTTGTGTTTGGTGAGGCAAACGTCAGTGAAACTTGTCGCTTAATTAAATGCCAAGTCTAATAAGCGTCGATGTATACACTGCACTGTAAAAACAGTGTTTAGCTCCTAAACACATTTCTAAGCGCCTGCTTTGTCTCATTTTTCGACGCGTTTAGCTCCTAAGCACGTTTAGCTCCTTAACATGTTACATGCTTTTAGACCGAATGTGTTTAGCAGCATGACGCGTTTGACGCCTAATAAATGTAGGGTTTATTTGTTTAACTGTTAGGTGCTACGGATTTCAACTGTTTTAGTCACAAAAACACAAAGACACGATCACTTTTACCTGCTATAGATATCTCTATCTATAACAGGGCAACGTGAACTGTCAATATCGTTGACTTCACCCCATCACATATACAGTTGGACTCATTCATCCTTGTGTTAGCTGACCTTGCGAGGAAGTTTATTGGAATGTATTTCTGAAATACAAGATAGGGAAATTCACTAGTTCACTAAAGACACGAAACAACAATCACTTTTATCTTAAAAACACATTTTTTCATATTTTGATAAATGCGTTACGGTTTTGATGACTATTTATTTTTTCCGAAAGTAATGGACAATAGAACATCAGGATGATGGTGGGGTAATCATTATAATTTTTTTACGCAGGGCTATCTCAAAGTTTGTGTCGCTCTTTTTGAACTACCTCTTCCATGGCCGGTAAAATACATATACCCAGTTGCGCACGACCCTCTCCTGCAGGGGTTTCCAGTGGCGGATTTAGAGGGAGGGGTCAGGGGGGGTGCTGACCACCCCCTTCGATTTCTGAAAAAATCACACCAATGGTCCCCTCTTGGAATTAGAGTTTTGACTAGGTGAATCATAGTTCTAAACCGTACCCAATAGCACCGTTCGCCCTCTAAATTTCTCGGGGCTCTTCAGCGGGCCCCGAACCCCACGCCAACGGGGCAGGGGGATACCCACCTTTCGAATAATCCTACAAGAACATTGGCCGGTGGTAGGCCTTTTTACAAAGATAAAATCCTTACTCCCCCCTTCCCCCTAGCAAAACCCTAGACCCTATCTTTATTATTATTAATTAATAATTAAGAAACAAATAACATGTTTATGTAGAATGGGAACAAAAAGATGGGATGGGAAGGATATGTAAAATGCTACAGATATATATATATATATATATATATATATATATATATATATATATATATATATATATATATATATATATATATATATATATTTGTTGCTAGGGTAATATGTTGCCTAGCAACTGTTGCAATGGTTTATTTGGGCTTTTAATGGCTTAAAATAGTGTTGTGATAGTTCTGATGGCTTGAAACATTATTAAAAGCCCTTTTAAATCTTTTAAACTGAACAAGAAAGGTCCAATTAGCTTGTTACTAAGGTACATCACTTCCTTAGCAACGGTTGCTAAGCAACGGACGAAATTTTGGGCACTACCCTTGAAAATGATCAGCATAGTCCAAAGAACATTTGTGCCAAGTTTCATGCTCTTTCCACCTTTTGAGCAATTTTTGCACCAATCATCTAGACTACAATGTTCTTGTTACGCCGGTGGTAGGCCTAGCTTCCAATGTGACCTGGACCTAGTGTTTTCCACAGCATCATTGAATAATATTAGCACAGTGCTGTTTAAATATCAGTGGTACTTTATTCTTTGTACCTGTGACCCATAAAAATAGTGTACATTCAGCTTCGCCGAAGCTTAACCAGCCAGTTCTAAAGCGCAGTCTACTGAAATGGCGGCGATGCACGTGTGTTTGCTATTGCTCTTCGGTGCCTTCATCAGCCTCTACGGCGCTGCCATCAGCGCTAACATTCTGCTGTATCCGTACTCTCTAATGCACAGCTCCCGTTTCAGGAACATTATCAAGATTGGGCAAATGATGGTAGCAAGAAACCACAGCGTAACCATTTTGATCACGACCGACATTAATCTGAAGGATATACCCAATGGGATAGAGGTGTTAACTGTCAAGGTACACACTGAAGCTTTGTCAATTTCCAGCGAAGAAATGCTTGCCGAAGTTCATAATAATCCCTTTCACCTTTTCAAGAAAGTGATAGAGAAAAGCAGTAGCACTGTGGATGCACTTTTTGGGAACAGAGAGCTACTAAATACTCTGATTTCTAAAAAATTTCACCTCCTGTTTCATGACGTAGCTGCTATAGAAAGTTTTGTATTGAGGGATTATTTAAACATCCCCGGGATCGGGTATTCTAATTGGGGGTTCAGTAACGACTGGACCGCCTATCCTATACACCCTGCCTACACACCAAATATTTTTGCAGGATGCTCGGATCACATGGGTTTTACGGAGAGATTAATGAACACGCTGACGTTAACGTTGGGTGTATGTTTTAAGTACTATGTCTCGGCTGCTATTAATGGCGCAAAAGAAAAATACAATCTCAACACGTCTTTGTCGATAATGACAGCTTATACCAGATTATCTATACTGATAGTTAACGTAGATTTTGCGTTTGACTATCCCCGTCCCGTTTTTCCTTGGGTAAAAACTGTGTCGGGTATCCTTTTTCACCCTGCAAAACCCCTATCTAAAGATTTGGAAGAGTTCGTGGAATCTTCCGGGGAACATGGCATCGTTATCATGAGTTTTGGGTCGATGGTATCCGAACTTACGTCAGAAAAAGCAGAATTAATAGCCAGGGTTTTGGCGCAACTTCCGCAGAAGATTATATGGCGGAGCAATAATTCCGATATTTCGGGATTGGCAAATAACACGAAAGTTATGAATTGGATACCACAAAATGATCTTGTTGGTCACGCAAAAGCGCGCCTGTTCATCACTCACTGCGGAGTTAGCGGTTCACACGAGGCACTATATCATGGGGTCTCTGTTGTTGCCGTACCCCTGTTCTTAGATCAATTTAGCCACGCAACAAAGTTTGTTGAACGTCTTGGAATGGGGGAGAAGTTAGACTTCTACAATTTAACAGAATCTTCTTTCTCTGCAGTTGTATTGAAGGTTCTGAATAATCCTAGCTATTTTGCCAACGCCAAGCGTGCAGCAGCAATGGTTCGTGACCAGCCGATGGACGGAAAGGAAACACTGATGTACTGGGTTGAGTATGTTATCAGAAACAATGGAACATTGCATTTCCATTCTCAGGCGATGGAGAGACTTAGCTGGTACCAGTATGTCTTGCTAGACGTAATAATCTTCCTATTAACGGTTGCAGTGTGTGTTGCTGCCTTTCTTTTGTTTTGTTGCAAAATGTTGTGCAGAAAAGTTCTCAAATTACAGCCTCACTTAAGGAAGAGGAACAAAACGGATTGATATCTATGTACGTCTTTCGTTTTTTATGTTGCTTTGGGTCTCACTCACGTGCACGTTGTATGGGAGATAAGGTGTCAATTGTAACAGAGATATAAGTTTAAAGACAACAATTCATGTTGGAACTATCCTTAAGCAGCGTACTGTTACAGACTACACGTATTACGACAGTCACTTGTATTGTACTGTATTCTAAGATTACTGTAAATATCATATATCATTATAACTGTAATTACAAAGCAAGAACTAACTAACTACCAACACAATAACGTTCACGCGAGATTTCTGAACATCGATTTCTTCAAAATGTAAAATGAATATTTTGTATATGTTGCAAAAAGCCACTTTTGTGGTATAAAATATTTCTGAGTCGTATGTCAACCTAACCTGTATGAAGCGCTTGACGCAATGTGAATCATCCATGGTAACATACATAGTTTTTAAAAGTTAGATGGTATAGGCGTATATACAAGAAACTCACCCCGCTCTTCCATTATTTGTTGGCGTTTCAGTCTAAGAACCGCTCAATTCCTTCAGATTCCATCAAGGCAATTTCTGCTGACATTATTAAAAACGGATTTAATCGTTATAATATGTTTTAACATATTATAATGTATTAAAATGTCACATGTCCGTTTTGGGTAGAATTCAATTTCTGATACAGTTCACGGGAAATCTCGCTGATAATGTGATTCGAAAATCCTGGATAAAATGACTTCGTTCCACGAAGGGCGAAGAATAAAAAGCCGCATTCACGCATCACTGGAATGGGGTGCTGTACGGGTCACGCTAAATAAAATGAACGTTTCACTCATCTCGGGAAATAAAAAGTTGCGTTCACGGGTAACGAAATTACCCAAAGGTGCATCCGCGGACCCCCCCCCCTCCTTCAAATAATCCTGGGTCCGCCCCTGGATTCGCTGGACCCCTCACCCACACTCACACCCAGACAGGGCCCGCCTGCCGGTGATAGAGACTCCCCCATGATAGAGAGTCTGCTTCCCATTCATTTGTACAGGTAACTTTCGCCCAAGAATTTGAACCAATTAGGCCAGGCTAACCCTAACCATTATAACTAAATGGAGGGTGGGTATTCTGTTACACGGACCCTCAGTTTCGTTACACCGGTACATTCGCCCACAAACTCCGTCTCCAGTGCAGTGGTACTCGGATTGAATTTAAATGATTTTTATTATTGAATACTTCTGATTATATAAAGCTATCATGTATTATACCTACCGGTATCAGTATTTATCCACTTACTTGTTGCAACCCAATAGAAACCCGACAATAACATTATTATGATCACATTATTTTTTATTTTCTTTTTTTTTACCCAAGTTCCTATTTTGAATTTCAATGTTTATATACTATCAACGAATATTCAGAACATGTATACTACATTGTACATGTATAAGAGCTATATTTCAAAACAACTGAAATTCTGAATAATATACGATGTGTAACTGAATGAGACTACATGCCAATGGACGTTATTTAAATTGGTTCTGTTACTACAGGGGTACAAAAAAGGATGTAGAAAATCTTGTCCAGTCTAATCAGAATATATCAAATTAATTCCCAATATGAAATACATCCATTTGCAATATACGATATTAAAATTATTTTTAATCTAAGGCACGGGGCACAAGTATCTGACTTCGTAGTCCAGACACCCGGATGTAAAACCTGGATCTGTCAACACGCCAGGTGGAGCCATGGCCACTGGCGGATTATCTGCTTCCAGGCATCCTATACCCAAAGGGGAGACGCAGGGCACAGCCAGTTTTTGTCCCGGCCCATCCCATGGGATGCGCTCACCGGATGGCGTGATGGCACGACACTCAATGGCAACTGCGGTTTGGTTGTCGGAACATGGTGGCTGAATAAAAAAGGAATACGATTTATAGCACCGTCCCCCCTTCTTTCAGATGATAACATTATGATTATTCATTTCATTTTAAGTCATAGACTGGGTTCCCACATATTTAGATCGATTCATCTGTATAGACCTAACTCACTGGGGGTTCACGCTAAATTGCTGTCAGCTTCCGGGAGCCGAGCACGCACTAAAGTTAATTACCCCCTTACAGCTTTTCGTAGGCGGGACAGACATTTAAGCCGGTTAAGCTGACAGCAATCTAGTGAGACTCCCCAGGGGGATAGATCGATCTAAATATCTATGGGAATGGTCTCATAGACTGGGTTTCCATACTTAGATCGATCCATCTGGATCGACCTAACTCCCTGGGGGTTCATGCTAAATTGATCAACAGGGAGCCGAGCGTAATCGAAAGTTAATTACTCCCTAACAGCTTTTAATAGGCGGGACAGACACTTAAGCCGGTTAAGCTGACAACAATTTAGTGAGACTTCCCAGGGAGATAGATCGATACAAATATCTGTGGGAATGGTCCCATAGATGCTATTACATGTATTTTGTAGACGAAGAAAACAGTGTGCTGACACCTACCGGCACAATGTTGACTTCCCAATCTCCATCTCCGGAGTCTGGGGAGTCACTGTTGATCCAGTCCGTCCATACCAAGCCTATAATGTATTTGAACAAGGACCACTAATTTGGGTATTATATTTTAGTATTCTTTTTTATCTTTCCATATTTCTACCTATCCCGTACGAGATTTTCATAAAATGTACGCCGAACCGGCATTTCCCCAAATTTCACACAGAACATATTGCAAATTGATGAAATATTACAAAAATCACAAAACCTCAAAAGCTCAGCTGCATGTATTCAATCAGTGAACTAAGAGGCTATCAGGACAGGATACCTAAAATACATGTAGGTTTTCACAACAGAGAGAGAGAGAGAGAGAGAGAGAGAGAGAGAGAGAGAAGAAGAAAAGTCAAATAATGCGTATAATCCCAGCCTCCTCGCTCACTTACACGGAGGTTCCAAGCACTGCCTACTCTCCTGTTGTTGTCCCGTACAGTTGTTGCCTCGAATGCACCGCCGGCCGCGCCACTGAACACCTGTCCCACACGTCACAGAGCAGGCACCCCAGGGACCCCAGCCACTCCATCGGGGCCTCAGGCACTCGCTGGTGCGTACCACGCATGGATTGGTGCTGTCGACAGAGAACAAGTTGTATAAGAGAAAATATTGTTATAATTTTTCCGGAGATGTTTTGTGACCATTCATTTATTTTTGTCAAGTTTATCCATTTGTCATAAAATGGGACACATTTCCGATGTATTTTTATATTGTTGAAATAAAAGTACATAGTTGTTATCCAATTTATTCCACCCACTCCCATCTAGTAGTCTATGAGCTAAATTAAAGCGGACCTAGTGGTTTTTTATGTAGGCCCTACAAATAACCTATAAGTCATTTACCAGTAAAACCGGTAACCTATAACTTTTGTTTTAACTCTTGTAGACTCTATCTATGATATCTTGTAGTTTTGCGTTTTTAATGTTTTATTTCATTATATAATCCAACCGCTTTAAAATGGTATAAAAAAACTATATATATCATAAATCAATAAATACTTTCTTTATTCTACTTGTTACATTCTTGCCTACCTGTCTCTGTGTCTGGGGGACACACCATAGTCCCTAGGAACCCCTGTTCCCGGGGCGCAGCGCCGCAACAGTGGACTGCGACCCCCGCCCCTCTTGGATAGACACAGGTAGTACCCACAGATGTCGCTGTCATCTCTAAGATATTGATTGGACCGACGTCGTTGATCGCAGGAACCAACTAAATTATATCATGTAGAATATTTTATTCGTGTTTATCTATTATCATTGAAATTTCGTATCAGTTTCTTTTTCTAATTATTTTGATCCACCAATCTGCTAAAATGAATGTTTGATTTCGATGTTGAGATTTAATTCTAGAAAGGAGACCCTACATGGGATATTAAAAAATACGTTTGGTAGAAACGAGAGGATTAAAAGTGAAAAAAAAAAAAAACATCATAAGTGGCTTATGATAATTTGATATTCGTGTATGTCCTCTATTTTTAAGAATACATTGAAGGATTCCACCAAATTTTTTTGGTCTTTCGTTTTCTATTAGCATTATGTCAGTTAGGTCAACGAAAAAATAAAAACTCACCCGGTTCTGGTCTAGCAAAAGACTGCAGGCTGACGAAAACTGATACAACAGCCAAAATGTACATATTGTTTGCAGGCTAAATGTGAACATGAATGACTGGTCGATTATTTTATTTTCAGGTTTTTATATATAGGGCCTACTTCTCTTTTGTGGTTTTGGTACTATCACGTACAACAGGCGCAGAACTGTGCAATACAAGGGGAAGTCTCATAAGCAATAAAAATGTAAACAGGCTGACAAATTCACCATGTCAACACACATCTTTTATGCTTATAAAATAATGTACTTTGCCGATACAGATATAAATAAAAGAGTTTGTAGTCAACAGGAGAACCAAGAGCTCATAGAAACGGGACAAAAATCGGTGTGGAGACCTAGAAATTGCAAAGGAGAAGGAGCGAGATCAGGGATAGTAGATTTGGGGATTTTAGGATGAAGGAAGGTCATCAATGTCGTACAAAAGAATGTTTGGGGGCAGCTGTAGACCCACTTGTTTAGGAAACGGTGATGAATGACTATATTTAAGTGTGGGGGGGGAGGTGGGGCAAACCTCTTTTACCACTCGGACTGGGGCTCGAATGGTGGACGGGATGCGGAATGAGCGAGGAATTTCTTTTTTTTTTTTTTTTTTTGGAGGGGGAGAGAGGGGGTAGACATTCAAACGTTTTAGTCGGAAGGCAGGACCCTGGATTTTCAGAGCATCTACACAAAATTTAAGTATAAATCTAATGTTGTTGCTGAAGACGAAGATGATGAATATATATATATATATATATATATATATATATATATATGAATATATATTTGAAGGCGCGTGGACGTGCTTACATGGTCCCTTGATGCTACCCGGGACAACAGCAGTGGGTGGTTAGGAAGGAAATTTAGCAATCGTTTTTACTGCTTGTGGCTAATTTATCTTGGTTTGGTCAGAGGACATCTGCCAAATCATCCGTAAAAAATATCGCCGGTAATTTGAAATTATACTGAAAGTTATATGAGGATATTGCTACCGAGGGATCGGTATTATTTTCAATATGCCAGACGGGTTCCAAAACGCAGGAGTGGGTTTTATATATGACATTGAAAGTTAACAAGTAATGCCTCTGACAGAACTTTTATCAAACTGAATAAGCATTGACCCTCCTTTCTAGAGTTGCCTGTTATCTATTTTCACCTTTCAGCTCTGCACAGTGGTTCGTATTTGGTCACGAGCTAGTCCGACTCTCTACCTCAGTGGGATAAAATTTTGGTGAACACTTTATTTTTCTGGTATTCATTTTTGATAAAATAAAAAACTGACTTCTCCCTAATGTGGGCAAAACTGCTGCAATATTAACTCCAAGACACAAAATACATGTACGGTATCGGTAATATTTATTGGCAAAATAACAAGCTTACAAATGTAGTTTCATTTCAGTAAATCTATGGAGAAAGACTTGACAATCACATCGTGGCTCAGATTCTTCACTGTCTTGATAATTCTTAAGAGAGTCCCCATGATAGAGAGTCCGCTTTCCATTCATTTGTACAGGCGAGCCTCGCTCCAGATTTTGACCCACTTCGGTCAGGCTAACCCTAACCATTAAAACTAAATGGAGGGTGGACTTTCTGTTAAACTGACCCTTAGTTTCGTTACACCGGCAATAATAAGCGTGCCACATGGCGACAGAGATTTGAAAATGAAGAAAAGGACGCACATAAAACCTTAAAGTCATGGTTAAATGAGTAGTGTAATACTGCCTAGCGCACCTCTTTTGTCAATGTCTGAACATCGTTTCACAAAACAGCACTGTCAAAAGTTTGAGAGTTTCCAGAGATTAGATCGATCTACTTTAGATCGACCTAACTCCCTGGGGGTTCAAGCTAAATAGCTGTCAGCCGAGCGGGCACAAAAGTTAATTACCCCCTTACAGCTTGTAGTAGGCGGGACGGACATTTAAGCCGGATTATCTGACAGTAATCTAGTGAGACTCCCCGCGGGGATAGATCGATCTAAAAGCTCTGGGAATACAGTCTTAATTTCAAAGTAGGGCGTTCGTAATTTAAGTAAAGTCTGCTTTGAGACTAAATAATTGTAGAGAAGTATCAAAATAAGTGACTTTCTAGATATTTATTAAGCTATTTTATTTGTTTGTGAAACACGTCCAGTCGTTTTACATGTCGGCCTATGTTTGTGGATTAATGACCATTCAATTATCCGGGTGAAAGTACACGTAAGGTTCTTGTCTCAAAGTTATGACAAACTTAACACTTCCGCTTATTTTGTGCATTGGGGCCTTTTAATCAACGCACCGATTAATGAAAAACTTAGAAAAAAAAATAAATAAATGCAATCACCAACAGAGATAAAAAATATTACCAAACTTGTAGAAATAGACCCAAAACTTAATAAAATAAGGAAAAAACATAGGCCTACTATAATTGTCCAGATACAATCTTGAAAGTATTTTTTTTTCAATTCTTTAACAAAGCTCAAAGCCCTATAGTATTTCGAAGTATTGAAATGAAAGAGTACATAACAAAATAGTATTACATCTTATAGGCCTATATTACATACATGAAATCCGTTTCCTATATCATCTTTTAATATGAAGACTTACATGTTATATAAAATGGTTTTACAATTAGATGAAAACATATACAATAGATCCTTATCTAAATGCAAATACACCGAATACAAATTATATGACATAATGTACAAGTAACATTCTATACATCTTGGAGTCCATGATTAAAGTATTACACCAAGGTCAAGGTAAACTAAGCCAAGGTCAAGGTTGGTAAGTAAAACATACAAAACATTTTTTTCAGGGGAACCTTGTGACAAATTGCATATCTTTGGAGGGGGGGGAGAAATGCATTTTTTTAAAGATTTTATATAGCGCAATCTAGAAACTTCTTCATCAACCAAAGAAAGACAACCATAAATTCTTCTTTTCAAAAATAAACATTGCGACATTTGCTTTGACAGGTGGGTCATTATTAGGTAAATGTGACTTGTTACCCAAGCGGCAAGTAGAAAATGTTACCTCTCTGATAAAAGAAATCAGATTAGGCACAGCTAACACAAGAAGTCCTTATGGCAGTTAGTAGGGTTATAAAAAGTCCACATTTCAGGCACTATGGAGTATTAGATAAACAAGGCAGTGGGCATGTGAATAATGCACTCTTAGGGAGAAGGGGAATATAAACCGTAAGCTAACGAGATTGTACAGAGCAAGGCATTATATGCAATTTTATATAAACACGTAATGGGGATTTTAGGAGCCGAGTAGGTCATAGAGATTCCACAGTCCTTCTGAAGGCAAATGTTGGAACATTACAAAAACAAAGTTTATATCACTTAAATTGCTGTAAAAAAATGAATTTTTTTTTCAAAAATAAGATAAACTGGTGTACCTTTGAATTTAAAACATTTTTTCTTAAGTAACATATTGATCTCCTAATGAGACAAGTTACAGAAATTAATATTTAGACATAATAATGAAGTTAAATCAACATACTTTCTAATCACAAGCAGCTGAAAGAAAGGCAAACATTTAAATTATTATGAATAATAATTGACAAAACACACAATAATAATGCTTGTATATTCTTTCTGACCTTTAGCACTTCTTTGGCCGCAATTAGTGTTGGTATCTTTCACTTTTCATGACATTTTTATACTACTGACAGTGTCAGTTGTAAAAACTGTGAATTGTGATAGATGTAAATATGTAATCTGTTATTAACCAATATTTCCATAACATAAATGTTCATGGCATAAATATCTCATCTCTAACTCATATCTATAATAATAATAAATATATTATTATAACTATATTATTATTATTAGTATAAATATCTCATCCCTTGCCAGTAAATTACGCATCTCCAGTTTGAATCAGACTGTACAACTCTCCAGCTGAACAATGTATATCTAAAGCAAAAATGTATGTGAATAATATGTATAAAAATGTATGACATATAATGCTCTTTTAATAATTTACTCTACAAAATCATCATTGTGAATGGCTCTAGCTGGACAAATGATTTCGCTTCGGTAATGATTGTAGATATATCTAATATCTACAGTTAAATGAAGCTTTACATCAAAATGAAGAGAACTAAAGAGCACAAATTTGAAGACGTACGATTATAAAACAGCTGATTTATGGGGGTGGCATTCAATTTTATATATTGTAAACTTTCAGATAACTGATCAGAAATTGAGCAAGTAAGCAAACTATACAAAATACAGGCACAACACTTTTAATGTACAGTAAATAATCTAATAAGTGGTCAGAATTATCTGGATGAATTAAATTTTTTTCAAATTGCACCATCTTTTCACAATCTAAAAAGTCCATGTTACTACTGTACTTGATTAATGTTATTGTGCAGGAAGGACTCCGTGAAATTCACTTCTGTGGACCCCACATTTTATCTGTTAGCTGAACTCCTTGATGTTTGTAATTATGGAACCCACTGCAATACAAGTCCATTGCCGTTCTTACGGAATGTTGTCGAGGGTCCATTGCTCTCTTGGACGGTGATCTGTCGAGGCTTATCTCCCAGCATGCATTGCAGTGTATTGTCTATGATCACTCGTAGGTTTCTATTTTGGCTCCTTTGGAGAGGAAAAAGATTGATTTAGACACAGTTCCCGGATAAATTCTTGGTGATAAAATTTATCAAGTATCACAGACTACATGCAAAAAAAAAATATCATTATGAACTACCAGATAAACTGAAAAATCCATGACTTACTATAGGTAACTTTAATCCATGATTTGCAATAAGTAAACAAGTGGTTAAGAAAATGGCAGTTAAGTGTGCCAAATCTTTTGAAAATCAAAAAATCACTTTTCAAAAAACACATCTCAAACAGAACATTCTAGATCAGAATTATCAGGGGCAGACCCAGAGATATTTTCTGACAGGCTTCCTAATTAATATCTTTGTTGATCCATCCTCCATTTTTGACCATCATCCAACAGAAAAAAGTAAGATACCCTTCAGTGTAAACTTGAAAAATCCTGACTGTCCACCTAAAGACCCAGAAGACGGCCTCTGGCCACCCCTAACTTATCAGTGCAGCACACTTACTTTTGCCACTGCCTGTTGACCACTCCGACTAGCTCCCCGACTCTCTCCTCGGACTTTGGGCTGACCAGGTAGACGACCAGATCATTGCCCCCCTGGAGGTGGATGATACATAGCTGATCTGGACCTGGGGTGATACTCAGCCCTGTCACCTGGTGTTGATGAGAAACAATTGTTATAATCAATGGCTAACTCAGCATTTGTTTGAAGTTATTATATAAAGCCCTATATAGTGCCCTATTTCAGATAAAGGCTGATATTGGTATATGTAATTTCTTTATAAATGATAATATTTAAGTTACTGCTTGTATGTTTTTTTTTTTTTTTTTTTTTTTTTTACAAAATACTATGAAAGAGCATTTNAAATAGGAGAACTTAGGGCTGCACAGTTTCCAAAAATTAGCACAAACAAATATTTTTTTACAGAAAATTCCCATTTTTAGAAAATTTTGGCTTGTTTGACCTTGAAAAAAAGGTCAAAAGTCAAATCCAAGGGCATATTTAGAATCTCCACATATGACTTTCGGTCAGACTTCTGTAGTAATTTTTTTCCATAATTCCTTTGGTTTGGGAGATATTTAGCATTGAATTTTCAAAAATTTTGACAAGGGTGTGTTTCAACAAGCGTCACGCCCAGACCAATGCACCGACAGAGACAAAAAAACCAGGGTGTTCAAGTTGAGATTATATGTTACCTAAATCCAAGAGATGGGGACACAGGTCCTTGCGGTCTAGGAGGAGAAGCGGTAACGGTGACTTGTTTCCGGCGCCTGACTGCGGAGCCGCAGGAGCCGGCGGAGCTGCAGGAGCCGGCGGAGCTGTACGAGACGGGTCGGGACTAAAACCATGAGTACCGCCAGCGTACACGCTGGTGGTACTAATAAGTGGTCAGAATTATCTGGATGAATTAAATTTTTTTCAAATTGCACCATCTTTTCACAATCTAAAAAGTCCATGTTACTACTGTACTTGATTAATGTTATTGTGCAGGAAGGACTCCGTGAAATTCACTTCTGTGGACCCCACATTTTATCTGTTAGCTGAACTCCTTGATGTTTGTAATTATGGAACCCACTGCAATACAAGTCCATTGCCATTCTTACGGAATGTTGTCGAGGGTCCATTGCTCTCTTGGACGGTGATCTGTCGAGGCTTATCTCCCAGCATGCATTGCAGTGTATTGTCTATGATCACTCGTAGGTTTCTATTTTGGCTCCTTTGGAGAGGAAAAAGATTGATTTAGACACAGTTCCTGGATAAATTCTTGGTGATAAAATTTATTAAAGGGATAATAACTCTTCGTTTCGGCAAAAAAATGAATTTTCCTGGAGTAAACAACAATTTTCCCATACTTACCAATGGTTAATGAATCCATTTATACATTCAAAGTTAGTCCCTAGTTTTTTTCTAAAAAGTTTGGTTTTTTGTTAAAATCTCTTAAGAGATTTTAACAGAGTATAGCCATCAATGGAGGTCACGTGGTCTAAAGACAAGCTCAGATATCAGAAAAAATAGCTATAACTGCCGTTTTTGTGGTAAAGCAGAATATATTATATTTCTATGAGTCATTCTCAATGTTTTTATTGTGAAATATGGATCCCATACGAAGAGTTATTATCCCTTTAAGTATCACAGACTACATGCAAAGAAAAAATATCATTATGAACTACCAGATAAACTGAAAAATCCATGACTTACAATAGGTAACTTTAATCCATGATTTGCAATAAGTAAACAAGTGGTTAAGAAAATGGCAGTTAAGTGTGCCAAATCTTTTGAAAATCAAAAAATCACTTTTCAAAAAACACATCTCAAACAGAACATTCTAGATCAGAATTATCAGGGGCAGACCCAGAGATATTTTCTGACAGGCTTCCTAATTAATATCTTTGTTGATCCATCCTCCATTTTTGACCATCATCCAACAGAAAAAAGTAAGATACCCTTCGGTGTAAACTTGAAAAATCCTGACTGTCCACCTAAAGACCCAGAAGACGGCCTCTGGCCACCCCTAACTTATCAGTGCAGCACACTTACTTTTGCCACTGCCTGTTGACCACTCCGACTAGCTCCCCGACTCTCTCCTCGGACTTTGGGCTGACCAGGTAGACGACCAGATCATTGCCCCCCTGGAGGTGGATGATACACAGCTGATCTGGACCTGGGGTGATACTCAGCCCTGTCACCTGGTGTTGATGAGAAACAATTGTTATAATCAATGGCTAACTCAGCATTTGTTTTAAGTTATTATATAAAGCCCTATATAGTGCCCTATTTCAGATAAAGGCTGATATTGGTATATGTAATTTCTTTATAAATGATAATATTTAAGTTACTGCTTGTATGTTTTTTTTTTTTTTTTTTTTTTTTTTACAAAATACTATGAAAGAGCATTTCTTCCACCTTTGTACCACTTTAATTATTTTAGATAAGAACTTCTATTTTGTTACAAGTATATTTTGTTTGTTTATAAAATTATCTTATAAAATACTTCAAATAACCCATTACTTCTTTTCATTAGCTATACTCACATCAGTGATTGGTGTGCCGTGTCTCATAGGCTTGTATTTCTTTTTCTGGTCCAGTTTATAGATGTACTTGTCAGTGACTACAATAGCACGGTCGGCAGTCTTGTTGTGACGGTTCACCTAGAACAGGAGATTGAAAATTACTCCAAAGGTGGACCATACTCAAAAAGCCCGTGTTAACGATTATTTTGAGTAATTAAAAAAGCATCCATCATAGCTTCTTCATGGCCTTTCTTCCTAATGGAAAGAATACTATTCTTGCTTATCAAAAGCAGTGAATGATTTTTACATTATTTATTTATTTATATTAAACATACTGAGAGATAATTTTCATTTTGTCTAGAATTGACTCTAAAACATTTTATACTTTGACTTCAACACAGTCAACTACTGCTGTCATTAAAAGATTACAGTCCTCATTATATCCCAGAACATATTCCACAGCTGATGAGCTTTAGAAGTGTGAAAATAAATTTCTTGGACATTATTAAAATACCTTCTTCACATGCATTGAGAAAAGCACTTTACTGAAACCATCAGCATGTTTCAGTTTGGTCAGCTGGTCCACATAAGGCAGTGTGTTACTGTTGTCCGAGGACTCCGCCAAGTAGTTCCCCAGCCACTTGCGCTGAAAACCCCACTCCTTCCTGCGCCCCAGGACTTCTGCAGCTGCTATCTTCAGGCGGTATGTAGGTCGCTCTGCCTCTGGGATGGGTTTAAGGATCATGTAGGCTCGCCACCTGCAAATGACAATTTCTTGATTTAACTTACATTTAAGTATCACATAGGCTTGCCTTGTAAAAACAATATTTTTAATTATACATTTAATCTATAAAATTTCATCAATTTAACCTACACCTCCAACCAATAAGTATATTTACTTCTAATCCAGATTTTAATTCAGACCTTAATTATGACCTGATGGTTAGCAGCATCTTAAGTTCCTTAAATAGCAAGTTTGATTGAAGTTGTCTTAGCCAATCACAAATGCTTGTTTTGATTATCCAAATTACATGGTTCTGTAGAAGTGTGTGAGAAGTAGTCAACAGAACTGTGACTGGTGTGGTCAACTTAAACCAAAGTTTCAGCCGGAACTTCAAATGAGACAAGCAGGCAAGTATGGAAATTGGAAAATGAAGAAACTGGCCCTTGTCAGCTGTAATATATGGGCTAATATTTCTAAAGGCTGGATTCATATTCTGGTACCTCTGGTGGGTCTTCTGTAGTTGGGAGACGAGTCCCTTCAATACAGGTGGCGGGTCAGGCCACTTGATGCTCTTCCCATAGTCCTTCATGCTTCTGACATTCCTGGAAAATTAAATATCCTACAATTTCAGGCACCACCAATATTCTTATTCAAAATATATTGCACTGTCAGTATTTAATTCAAAATGATACCTAAAACATTAATACTGTATGTTTTGAAAATAGATCCATTACAATGTGTTCACTTTATAATTATATAATTCAGAAAAGCATGCACAAATTGACTGCAACATGAACTATTTTTTGTTGTAAAATGTGTTGATTAAAAAAAAAAACTGACTGCATTTCCTCAACTGACCTAAATGTATTGACTAGCTTCAAAATGTAGTTTCGTAACTTGTAGCGTCTGAATCTGGCCATGATCTTGTAAATGGCTCTCATTCTCTTGGCTCTCAGCCTGGCAGTGCCGCCACGCCAGTACTTGAAACAAAAAATTTGAACATTTTCACAAATTACTCAGTGCTGATTAAAATATTAATATGTGAATGTACGGACATTTTACTAAATTCTATATGCGATATCCATGGACTTAATCAAAAATCAAAGCTGGATCTGTATGCTGTACATGTTTTTTGCGAAGCCTGTAAGGTTAATGGTTCATTAATTCAAATAAGCAAATGACAATCTCACCTCAACATATTATATCAACCATTTTCTTCAACCAATTATGAAACTTTCAAGTGTTACTATGGAGTCAACCCTAGTACTGCATCCCCATCACAAAGACCACCAAGTCCAAGTATAAAAACTGATTTTTTTATATCTTTTCCACTCTGCTTCTGATAATATGCAAAAACTCGACATATTCTCCGTTTCCCCAGTTTTCATACCTTCTGTAAGAAGACCACCAGTGAAGGTATCCTGGCTGCCCTTGCCTCCTCCAGCGCAAAGACCGTCTGTGGTGATTTGATGAAGATTTTGGTCTTACCATACTGGACATCTTGACCAAATCCTCTCTCATTCAGAATGATATCAACACCTTGTTTTTCAGCCCCTCGCCGGAATGTGGGCCAAGTGGAGGAAGAGATACACTTATACCTATAAAAATAATTATTTGATATCAACACTTCAATTAATTGAAAAAATATGTAATATGAATCTGATTTCAAAATGGTGCTAATAGGTAATAAAGCACAGCCTTGATCGAATGTTTTGTTCAAAAAATGGTTAATTATTAAATTGTTTACAGTTCTCTTAAGTAAAATGTAAGTAAAATATAGATTATGACCAAAACTAACTAAACCAATCACAAATATCTGAAAAATTCTGAAAAATTCAAGAAACTGTGTTGAACAGGAATCCATCTTGATATATTTTTCTTTTAAATAAACAATATAAGTGATAAATGTGTTACCTTTCCAGGAATTTTACATAGGACATTCTATACGCAAAGCCAGCACGGCGCACACGCACGTTCTCCAGCAATCCTAAATATAGCACCTGATGTCGCACCCTTGTCTCATTGAACAAAACGGGAGATTTTTCCTCGTTTGGTTTAATGCAACGGACATAGTGGGGCTCCTGGGCAAAAAAGAAAATAAAAAAGAAATAAATAAGTAACTAGTAAATGACAGGCTATTACAAAAACAACAAATAAATGGATTTCTGTGAAAATTTCAGTAACTAATGCAATGTCTTATCAATTTCACTGTATTTTTATCAATAAAGCAATTTCAATTATGACTTGAGCAAACTTTTGGCAATGCTTTTCACAGATTTTTTGAACAGTGAAAAGACAAATTTGATGAATTTATCTGGTATTTGTTATAAACTAGCTGACAAAGCTAATATTCATATAACCATTTGTCAGTGACCCATATTAGAGGCTTTTATTGTGAAAATAGAAAAATAAAGACTGTTGCACCCAACATGATGAGGACTTACTTTAGAGGCCAAATTTTCAACCAAAGCAATGATAGAATTCTTGAAATTAGTGCCTGCTGTGATTGGACGTTTGTTCACCTGGAAATCAAAAACCAATATACGTGTATACTCACTTACAGCCACTGATGCAATGAGTTTTAAGACAAACTGAATTCTTTGAAAGTTCAAGTTTTTGTTAAAATATTCAATGTAAATAGTGACAGTGAAGTTATTGTTTTCTATACACTCTTCAATCTAATATTGTACACATTACAGAAAATGTACCTGTAACATCAATAGTTTTTTTTTTTTTTCAGACAATAAAATGAAGAGAGTTCCAGCCTAACTGATTACAGCTTAATGTCTTCTCTAGTAAATTAGGATGAAGGCACCCACCTCTGTGACACCTTTAGCACCTTCAGGCCACATCGATTTGATCATGGCATTTTCACTGAAAATGAACAAAACAATTTTATAATGTCTTCCTGCTGCAATACCTTTCTTAATTTTCTTTTAACAATTTATCACCTATAAGTAGTACTTTGGTTTCAGATCATGGCATCATTATCTGACATTGACCTAAAAGTGAACAATAAGTCACATTCAGATTGTAATTAAGTTGACTCTACTCAGTGCGACCCTCTTCTACAGGGGGTCTGAATAATATCAAGATACTTCAGAAAGAAAGAGCAATCCTTCAATTATCAAACAGTATTCCTTTGTTTATCAAACAGACAGGGGGCAGAATTCTTCCAGTCCCAATCATGAAAGCTGCCATCAGCATCATACAACAGAGTGATCAAGGCAAAAGGCTATGACCAAAAACTCTCTAACAGGTTTTAGCATTTTCTTTAGTCCTGAGTATCTGTTCCTGTGTTAATACTTTGAGGTAGTGTTTTTATTTGGTCCATGAATAAGACCCCATTCCTATACCTAGATTGATCTTATAGGTTTGATCCATCTCTGAGGGGTTTCTCGCTAAATTGCTTTCAGCTTAAGCAGCTCTGATGTCTGGCACGACTACTGAAGCTTTCAGGTGGTAATATCATTTAGCAGTTTCAGTAGACGTGCCAGACATCTAAGCCACTTAAGCTGAAAGTAATCTAGAGAGAAACCCCTCAGAGATGGATCTCAGTATAGGAATGGGGTCTTAGTCTCACACCCCATCAAGCACCGGGGATGGTGGTAGGCTGGGAATAAGAGGGGTCACCTCAGCCTCTTCACCTATCTATATGAAAACTCCACTCACCTTCCATACAACAGTCTCTTGAAGTCCTGAAACAACATGTCTTTGTTTTTGTCGATGAAGCCAATGACAGAGTACATCACGTCTCCAGCGTAATGCTTTACTCGGAAGTCTCGGTCATGTTCTAGAGTTTTGTCAGCAGGTTCCAGCTAGAATTTAACAACAAATTGTTTAAGTTTTAAGCAATTCAACTGCAAAATTACCTTATTTGTCAAGTAATTTTATATGGCCATGAAATATTATGTGGCATTTATAAGAACTTCCATTACAAGGTTTAAAATTAAAAAACCTAATAAACCAAAGGCGTCCCTAATTAATGGAATCAAGTTTTGAATTATGGGCATTATGTACATTATATATTATGGTCTCTAAGAATATTAAGAGGTGTTTTTATAAAATCTTAATTTCTTGACATTGAACTTGGAAAAAAATATCTTGAAAAGCCATCGAGGTACACTTACAAGGAGAAAGTTGCTGCCTTACTGTGACAGGCTTGGTCTTAAAGTTAGGCAACAACCTTCATAAATTGAATACATGCCAAATAAACTTCAAAATTTTCTCAATCAATGAAATATACTGACAAGAATTTTGGCTAAAAGTTCAAATGATGAATGTTATTAAACATATAGTTCTTTCCAGGATTTCTTGACTTTAAATGTTTGCAGATTTCCCCTTACCCTGCGGCTAGTGTAGTGTTTGTGGTCAGAAAGCTTCTGGTCCATGGCATGGAGAAACATCTGGAATGCAAGTCATCAGTTTCTTATTACTTATTGTTAGGTTTTTCCTGCTCTGTCAGCAGATAAGTTTTGTTATCATGCCATACATTGTACATAAAGATCTCTACAGAGCTATCAGCTTCTGCATTCACCCTTTACATTCAGCACAACCTTTTTTTTTTTCATTTCTATTCCCCTCTTTTTTATAAATGTTTCATTTTAATTTAAATTTAATTTTTTTTTTGCAAGATATTTTCTAGTTGAATAAACTATTTATTTCAATGACTGTTCTGATTTTGAAAAAAGAAATATCTAAATGATCCCAAAACTTATGCATCCCAGAATAAGATTTACAATAGGAAATATGTTCACATGACATATAATATGATCTAAATTATCCACACAGTTTTCAAAAGCCTCAACTGAGCCACTGTACGTACCACATCTGTGACCTTCCCGACATTGAGACAAGCCTCATCTAAGATAGCCATGATCCCTTTATGTGGTTTCTCCACCAGGTGGCAGATTACCTCGTTGTTGAAGTATTCCACCTAGAAATAGACATTTTTTTAATGTTTAAATGCTGAAACAATAATGATTTCATTTTTTCTTGATAAAGCTCATGATTTATCGAAAAAAATTACTACTATCAATTTCATAGCTGTACCTATGCCACATACATACACTTGAGCTGAGTTTGTAGACATTTAAAAATAATTTTTAAGAAAACAAAAACATATAATTAGACCAAAATCAGTCTGATAGATCAAAGAATTTTGTTTTACATGCATTTTTGCTTTAGCTTATAAGGTGTGTGTGTGTGTGTGTGTGTGTGCGCGTGCACACCACATGCTTGCGTGCACATGCAGGTATATGTCCATAGTGTACTCACGTGTTGCCACTCTATGCCTTCCCTCATGTATTCGTCTTGTTCTTGTTTTAGCACCAGCTCTATGAACAATTGCTGTAGCTTTTCATTGCAGTAGTTGATACAGAACTGCTCAAAACTGGAACAGAACAAATTCATAGATTATATATGTACCAGATATGCTTCATAGTTCAAAAAGATAAAATTTGTTTACCTGAAAAAACTTGAACACGGACTGCCACCCTGTCATGTCATTTTGAAAATCAGAAAACTCTATTTAAAAATAAATTTAAAAAAAAAATTCAAAAGTCAATTAAATTAAATTTGACATATTTAATGATGATTGATTTTCATTAAAAAAAAATTCAGGTGAGAGAGATGTGCTATTCTGTTACTGTTGGTAATATATTTGTCAGGCATCTTAAATCATATTTACCAAACAAAAAATGCACACAATATATAATAAGTACAACTGATACCTCAACTATTCAACATCAAGCAAATCTAAATTTCACTTGGAAATAATATATCTCACATCTCACCTGTTGTTGTCAAAGATTTCAAATCCATAAATGTCAAGTACCCCAATGACAGTGTTGCGACCATGTTGGACAACATCGCGTTTCACTTCGATTGCTTCATTTATCCTTCCCACAATCCAAGTGAACATGTGATCATACATTGCCTGGAGTTTGGGAAAAAACAGATATATAAAATTAACATAAAAATACTACTATCAAAAGATCAATAAAAAGCAATGGAGGCTTTCAATCACTTCAACCATATGTAATGACATTAGTTTTGAATTCTGTAAAGTCAATAAACACAGACTTAATTTACAATTCATCAAAAATAAGCAAATATATAAATAAATTGAGGAGTAGAAATTCAAAATAAATAAATAAATAAATAAATAAATAAATAAATAAATAAATAAATAAATAAATAAAAACAGCAACTGCATTTAAAAGGCTGAGAAACAAAAATAAGAATTTTTCAAACTTATTTGTTATTACTTACATTGTATAACTACTCAACTCAACAATGGCGAACAATATTAGGTAATATATCAATACAAAAAAAAAAAATTCTATGCACCTTAGCAAATGCGTCCCTGGCATACACTGCTTCTGCCGCCGTGTGACCTTTCTCCATGACCTCTCCTGCTGCAGCCACCACGCGGAAACACAGTGCCTTTTCCAGCATGTCTCTGTCTATGGCCAACAACTTGGCTATCGTGGTCAGCTGGTCGGGGTTCTCCACCACCACTTGGTCATCTTCCGTGTGGTATTTCACCTCACCCTGAGTACAGATAAACAGGTTGTGAATGAAAATAAGCTGGGATTATCATTTACAGGCAATTGAAATTAAAACAAAATATGGTTTTATAGGAATGGATTAAAATTGGCAAATATCTCAAGAAATTCTGATCAATATTTCATCTTATGGAATGGCACTAAAAAGAGGAACAAAAAAAACATGATCAGACCAATTTCAGAATTACAGCACCCTCAGTTTTCTTCATTCATATTTTTGGCCTCATTTTACTCTCTACATGGGATTAGTGTACACAGAAAACTTCCACTACACTATAGAGTTAAACTTAACACATTACTTCCATTTCAATATACTAGCATTTTAAAAAAATCTAAATATCAAAATGAAAGTTCTGATTTATCCAGTTGCTTCAACTAAGGTTTGATCCAATGTGAGAGTAAATCAGAAGTCCAAATTAAACTTACCAAGTGTATCACAGCACCAACTATTTTCCACAACGTCTCAGCATCTTTGTATGAGAACCCTGTAGCTTTCATGGCATCCTGTACTGATCTATAGTCATTTCTGTCATTGATGGAAGACACCTGGTATATACAATATAATTTGTTGTTACTAAACAGTTTTATTTATTTCTTTAGAGATGTATGTTTATCTGTGAGTCAGTCAGATAATCAAGGCCCTTTGATGAAGGGTCGAAATGTCATACATTAAAGGTAAAAAATCATGTTAAGTCTTTTTTGAAACAATTTCTGTTTTCTACCATCTTTTAAAATATAAGAGAACATTTAATGCAATATAAAATTGTCTGAAAGGCACAATAACATTCTAATTACATGATATCTTCATCAATCTATTACTCTATCAAAATATTAAAATATTACCAAAAAGATATAATTGATATGTTTTATATATCATCTCACCTTGTGTGAGTCTCCCTGGCGTGTGTAGTGGTACAGAGTGGGATCTCTCTTTAACTTCAGCTCTGCTAGTTTTTCTTCTGCTGCACCTGATAGAAGCTAAAGAGAACAAGATATTAATACATTAAATTATATTATATTAAAAGTCATAATTAAAACTTAACATCTAGTTGCCGTACTGGCATGACTCCTGGCAAAAATTTTTCTGAAATCAAAATCGTTCAACCAGAGATTTAGCCAGGATTATGAGGTAGAGTCCAAATTTTTCTTTCCAAGTTGGTCTGTCAACATACTGTATAAGAATAATCATTCCATACAATAAAAGTGGCTGTCAAAAATTGAAATAGTGAGTCCAAAAGACAGATGGACAGTTGACCGATTAATGCCGCATCCAACCCAACATGAAAACTTATTTTGATCACGTAACATATTAAAGTAATTATAGCAGGTCTTTTCCTCCTTGACACCACATTCCCTCTATTCCATATATCTGTATCACATTCTGTTACTTTGATTTCTTATCAACTTACTTAAAAGGAGAGTTTAGATTAGATGCATGCTAGTTTTTTTGCTCTCACACTTTTTCTTGAGACAATATGATTGTTCGTGGAAAGTAAAAGACGTTGCTGAGAGGAAAAATACTTTAGGATGACATATGAATTTAGTTTATTAGATAAACTTTTTTCTAGGCTAACTGTCTCTCTGTAAGATTGTCATTGTGTAAAGGCTCAGTATAGGAATACAGGCAGACCTACCTGATAAAATGAGTGGAAGTTCCTCTCTCCTTTTTGTTGGTACACCACTCTTGACTGAAAAAGTAGAAAACACAGATTTCATTGCACACCAAATGTCAGAGATAGTTTATCTTTAACCAAATCAAACAGAATCCATAAATGATAGAAGTTTTCAGATCAAGCAATTTGCGAACAATTTTAATCTATTAAGATAGAAAACAAAATGGAACCAAGCATAAACTAAAATGAGATGAAACTGATTTTGTGATCAATAACCATTTATTCTTTTCATTTGTCTTTTGTATCAAATCACCAACTGATAGCTCCACACTCACTTTTTCTAGTAAGTAATTATTAATATGGCCTCCGATTGGGTCCCCCTTGAAGTCAAAGTTGATGTCCATATATTTGCCAAAGCGACTGGAGTTATCATTACGGTTGGTCTTGGCATTTCCAAAAGCTTCCAAGATTGCATTGGACTTGATCAAGACGTCTTTGACCCTGAAGATAAAATTGGAATACTCATCACTAAAAGTGATTGAGGAAATCATGAAATAGAGATCCCCCTCCCTGTTCTCTTCCTCTCCTCTGTCTTTCTCTTCTTGAACTCTTAAACCCTCACATACCTCTATCTGCTCTGTCTGTTTCTCTAAAACTCCTCTTTCTCATCCCTGTCTTTTTACTTAATTCTCCTATCTCACCCAACCCCTCCCCTTTCTCTCTCTCTCACCCCTCCCCTCTTTCTCTCTCTCACTGTTGCCGATTTGCCTACACATTGTTTTTCCATTATATGATGCACATGATGTAATTGTGGTAACTCTGTGTGATTACTTTTCTTAGTTCATGTGATGAGGTGTGTTCAAAGTGAGTGAGAGCTTCCTTTTGGTCAATATGTTAAATATTTTGTGGGTTGCAAATAGTGTTCTCTCTCACTCCCACCTCTCTCTTTATGCCTCATCCTCTCTCTCACTCACTCTCTCTCTCTCTCTCTCTCTCTCTCTCTCTCTCTCTTCACTACTCACCTGTTGACCTCCTTCTGTCCACTTACTCCTGTTATGGCTGCTATATACCTCATTATGATTTTAGAGGCTTCAGTTTTACCAGCACCACTCTCACCTTTGGGGAAAAGAAAAAAAATGTATTACTATAAATAACATTCAAGACTTATCATTTTAAAGCCTAACTCTCTCACAACTGAGAAACAAAACTGCTAAAATTTATTTTAAGTGTTATATGCAAAAAATAAAGAATTCCACCTGCAATGAAATTTTTCACATTTTTCAAATAAACACTCTATGAAATCATCAACTGGCAATTCATAGCATAATCTTTTATAAATTCCTAAGCCCTGAAGTCCCCTTTTTTTCAGAAAATGTTACTTCTGGTTGATTTTTATACATTTGAACATCTTTTATCCTAGACACAAATGCCGTGGAATGCCCCATATGAGGACAAAATCCTGTCTTTAACTTTAAGGGATCATTAACAACCCATTGATCCACAGACCACAATATCTACTGACACATCTACAAGTCATTCTGAAATATCAAATGGCCCTTTCACACAGAAAGGATCTACAAAAACTAACATGTTATTATTTGAAATGGTGCCTCCATAGTTTTGCTCAAAATGAATTGAATGAATGTGTTGCCTTCAATATAATGCTCTTAGATAATTACATAAATTTGTCATTTATCAAGTACAAATATTGTCTTGGCTATCAATTCAACTCAAAACAATGACAAGTGGAGCAACACTTTTAATAAGAATTTTTGATTTTTAATCTATTCAAACATCTTGCTCAAATGTCATTAAGAAGCATTTTTTCACTGGGCTTATTATGAACTCTTGATGCTTGGCAACCTCTGACATTTTTGTCAGTGAATAGACAGATTCTGAATCAATGATGACTAGACATGTAATATATGTAATGGGTCTAATCAAATTCACAAAAATTAATGCACAAAAAAGCACATAAAATGGATCATTTTTCTTACCTGAAATCACAATGCAAGTATCCCGTGACTTCCTCTTCATTACTTTATAGGCAGCATCAGCAATTGCAAAAATGTGCGGCGGCCGCTCGTAGATTTCTCTTCCTTGGTACTGCTCCACATAGTCCTGGCCGTAGATGTTAAGTGGACGATACGGGTTGACTGACACCACCACTTCACCAATGTATGTGTAGAATCTGCCTTTTTCAAACCTAGAAAATCAATGATATAGATATACTAGTATGTAGAATCACGGACAGGCCCAGAGATATTTTCTGACAGTTTTCTAAATCATCTTTGTTGATCCATTCTCCATTTTTGACCCTCTTCTCACAGCAAATATTAGATGCCTGTGAATGTAAACTTGAAAAATTTTAACAGTCTTCCAGAAGACGGCTTCCATTGGGCCCTGAGGATCCTTCTTTTACAAACCTACCCGATAGAAGATCAAAGATAGATAACTTGTAGACTTTTTACAGACTTCCCCTAGAATATACTGAAACGTGCAGCAAAATTGTGCTATTAGGACTGTTAGAATTCATACAGTTTGCACATGCTCAAGTGTATTACCAGGTTACTGAATTCATAAACCAACTTACGCTTCCATCCATTCAGAGACATTTATTTTACTTTACTGACAGAGAGGAAGAGAAAGGTAGTTGGCAGATGCTTAATTACACCCAAGCAAGAAAAAAACTAATAGAATTTAGAAACCCTTGCAAACTAAAGTCAGGTGCTGAAATGACTGCTATTTTTATCACTATATTAGATCTCTTAAGTCAGTGTGGATAAAAATTGTCAGCAATACTGGAATGATGATTAATGTGAATACATTATTTGAGTTTATATTATAATCTTATGTTTAATTGTAAATCCGCAAAGTATATAGCACAAGCATCCTAGTACTAGTAATTGTTTTTAAATGCCAATATGCAGGAGAGAGACAGAAAGAGAGAGAGAGAGGAAGAAAAGAATGATGAGAGAGTCTAAGGGCAGAGAAAATACTGGTGTAAATTTTCGAGTATCATCCCTGTAGCTATAAAACCAATAATGTATTAAAAAAAAAAAAAGAAAGGAAATTACATGTACCATTTTTACATGAATCAACAATGTCTCACGTCACCTTGCGGCTACCATGAGACATAAACCAAAGTATGCACAAACATTCAGTAGCTATACAGCGCTGTAAATAATCCAGGCTGTCCCATTATCCTCCCACCTGTGCTGATGTCCTCCCTAATAAAATCATCTGAATGGAATGCCCCTGAATCAAGACATGTAAATCAGTATGTCCAAATATAACATCATTTACGTACTAGTAAGTGAGAGGTTTGCCATAAATGGGTATTCTGACTTCAAAAGTCTCTTTCAATAAATTACTTCCGTAGATTTCTAATGATGGTGACAGGGTTCAAGATGAAAGGGGCAACGTCAAACTGTAACTATCTTTGTTGTGGAATCATTTTCAAACTTCCATACAACATCTCTTTATTTAGTCTACTGCACTCTGTGAAGAAAAAGGGAATTATCTGCCAGAGAGCTATATCAAGATGTATTTGTATAAATAATCAGCTATGAACACGCCCAGGATTACTGATCTATATACACTGTGCTTTGTACATTTTTAGACCTTTCTAAGGTTGTAAGATATTTTCGATTTCATATTCCCTTCAGTTAAACCAAATCTGGTCCCATGAAATCCCCAAAAATGAATTTAAATTGAATCACAATTGAATCAGTGTCACATCTCGGCTTTGAAATAAATGAAAAAAATCAGTAATACTAAGCATGAGTCCAAGTTCCCTAAATTACTGAATCAAAAGAACCACATAAAGCTCCTGGGATTCAGCAGTCTGCTTACAGAACCCAAGTCGACACTCTATTATTACATTACTCTGATAATTTGTGCCCATCTGCCTTTATTTCTCCACCAGACATCAATTGATCTGACTAGTTATAGTCTTTATTATGCTGTGTCTAGACCAGATAGCCCTAGGAAAGTTTACACTGAAGGACTGGATCTGATCCATGCCCAGGGGCGGATATATGCCGTCTTCTGGGTCTTCCAGAAGATGTTCCGATTTTCAAGTTAGTTTTCATTGACAGGTACCTAACTTTTTCGGTTGGAAAACAATCAAAATTGGAGGATGACTCAACAAAGATAATTTGGAAAACAGTCATTAAATAGCTCTGGATCCACCCCTGACGCTGTAAAAAGAATGCCAAAGATGAAAGTTTGTGCTACAGTCATAATGGCAAATAAGAGAATACATTACACCATGCTGAGACAAATTTCATTACAAAATCATAATATACCTGTACATCAGGCCCATAGTTGGGGGGGGGGGGGGGAATAACAATCCTTTTGACCATAAAATGCCTGGGGGGATCCACTCATCTACGAGTAACTTCCAATTTAGGAAAAAAAGTTCGTTAATCAAAGCTGATAACATTCTGCACTTAGAAGTCCCTATGTCTGTGAGTAAATGAAGTGAATTTTCACTACTGACATCACCCAGGGATTCAATAACAGAGGTAAGTTTTCTGAATAGTCTCCTAGACTGGGTGCCATAACTTTGCCTACTGGGAAATCTAGACAAGAGAATGGCAATATATCCCCAGTGTAATATAATGAAATTTAATAGTTTGGCATTGTCAGAGACAAAACAGACATTACATGACAACAAAGTTCCTTTTGAAATCATACAATAAATCAGGAGGCACTTTCAAAAATACCTAGTCTGAAAATTACAAAAAAAAAAAAAAAAAAAAAAAAAAAAGAAATCACAAACATATTTTTTTAAATTACCGAAATTTATAGATGCAACTTTTCTCTGGCTGGGGTAGCGCTAACACTCGCCAATTTAGCCAAATGCTAAAACTTACGTAAATTGGCTAAAGAAAAAGGGCTTGATTTGACATGTTTTAGCCAAATTATAATCATTTTGATAACAAATTGACAAAAATGTGGTGATTTGGCTAAGTGAAAAAATTGCTAGCGCTACCCCAGTCTGGGATCCTTTTTTAAATGTTATTGTTCAACATTGCCTCTTAATATACTCTATTCCACTACCTAATTCTAATAGAGTCTATTGATTCTGATATCACGTCAATCACGAGTTATGAAAGTGGCAAGGCGGAAGAAGTAGTGCTGACTAAAACACTTTTGTCATGAGATCCAATTATATTTCTGTATGGTGTTTTTTTATATTTCACCCTAGATAATGTGTCGCCTTTACCTTATGTTTACCTGAGTGTAGTACTTAGTCTTTTAAATAACTACCATTTGCCTTCTTGTAGAAATAAACTAAAGTGTGCAGTTTGTAATTCATGTACTAGTAAGTGCAAAAAAAAAATCAGTTGTTTCAATGGTTTATTGAATATTGCTAAAATCAATGTTATTTACAAGAACAGTCTTTTATATATGGCAATTTCAGCCAAAGTAACGATGACCATTCTGCCCCCCCCCCCCCCCAAAAAAAAAAGTACCTTTCCATACATAGGTGAACAAGGTTTTTACACTTTTTATATATGGAGAGTGGTCAATATGAAAATTCTCGAGAATAATGTAAATACTTCAAGGACTCTTTTACTCTCAACTGGTTAAAATATGGCCTACAAGATTTTTACATCAGACTTGTAAACCAGCCTGCTAAAGAACTGTAAACTTAAGCAATTAAGGCAGTACCTGGATCAGGTAACTAAGCAATAAATCTCTGCTGAACACTTCAAAGATTTAGCTAGAAAACTCGAGTACTGTCCCTGGTTATTTTATTTACTTTGTGGTGTAACAGTCTTGACACAGTGATAGTACAACATTCCAACATTCTGACATGAATTATTTTTATGGGAGTGCTATATACACACACAGAAAGTTAAGATATGCTGAGAGTAAGATTCAAGTATACAAGGCAACAGTATAAGTAAAGGCTGAAACCAGGAGAGGTGAGGGGGGGGGGGGGTGAGAAAGACACAGCAATCATGCATAGATATAGGTCACTGGAAAAACTTCTCTGTTTTGAGCAGGTGTCTGCTGATAACAGAGGTGACCAGTGACCATTCAAACTTTGGGTGGACAAAGGGGTTTAAATTGCCCAGTGGGTCCAGCCCCTACCCTTCTCGAGGGATAAGAAAAAAAAAACACTCTTGAATCATACAGAAGCTGGTAGTCACTACACAGTGGTCAGTCTCCAGACTGATACAATGTATCAATTTCACAGTGGTCAGTCTGGTTGATTACCTGGTCCAACAGTTACGACATCATTACCCAGTCAAGCTGTAGCCTACACTTTACCTAGGATACCTGGGACTATAGAAATGGTGTGTGGCATGCAATACATACATTACAGATCACATAACGTCTCAGTAAACTGTTGAAAAACCTTTCCACCAGTGTGTACAATCCATTGGAGAGATAAAGGTTAATAAATCAAGTTCTTTAACAAGATAAGGTTCACAGTTGAAATATTCAAAGGGACACTGTCTGTAAAAACATACACCATTTTATCAATTATATTGTTATAAAATAAAGAAATAACCTGATGATAGAAGGAATGAATGAATGAAGAAAGGAAGAAAGGAAGGAGTACATCCATACACAGACAGACAAATCAAGCACTTCCACAAGCCAGCAAAACTTGTTTCAAAATTCCAAGTACAAGCCTGCTGGATGTTTTTTCAAATGTTTTTTCTTCTCTATATTTAGCGCTGTAATTATTCCTCCTGTTCACCCCAATCTCGCTAAAAGCTGTTTACTAATAAAAGAAGACTATCAGTGGAGGCATGGTGTGGAAGGTCTTATCTACACAAACTGGTATCTGTGAATGCTGCAGGCCTGATATCACTTCAGCACTGATACCGCTTGCGTATGAATGGATCTCCATGTTCTAGTCCACAATTTATGAGTATTTTTAGTGACTCCCATTGCTTTTGGGTGTTTTTTCTCTACTTTGTGACACGTCACGTCACGACTGTGACAGATCAGCTGACAGATCTGCAGATGCCTTTTGAGCACTGGCAGGACAGTGCATTAGAAACTCCAGGGTGGGAAAGCTGAGAGAAACCACACAGCTGTGGCACCATAGATTCACTTTATTGTATTTTCTGCTCGTTTCAGCGGGCATCATCATGACGTCATGACAGTTTATATTACAATATTTTAAGAGTGGAGTTTCATTAAAGTGAAAGATGCACATATTCCATAATTATGTTA